GAATAATCATAGAGTTATATACTACACATGAACATATATATATATATATACATACCTATGTATGGATACACGCATATACGCACACACACAAGTATCTCTCTCGACCTCCGTCTAGCTGTCTGTCTGCCTGCCCGTCTGAGTCTGTCTGTGTCTCTCTCTATCTCTCTCTCTCTCTCTGTCTCCCTCCGTCTCTCTGTCTTTCTCTCTCTCTCTCTCTCTCTCTCTCTCTCTCTCTCTCTCTCTTTGTCTGTTTGTCTGTCTTTCTGGTTGTCTGCCTGTCTGTTTGTCTGTCTTTCTGTCTGTGTGACTGTCTGTCTGTTGACATGTAGTGTAGGCATGCAGGTGTGTAGTTGGGTAGGTAGGTATGTATGCATGTACATGTGTATGTGTGCTGGGCATGTGTATGTAGGCTTGTATGTACGGTAGTATGTATGTAGGCATGTATGTACGATAATTCTTTTTGCGTTTGAAAAGTATGTTTGTATGTATGTAGGTATGTATGTATGTGTATGTATGTGTATTCATTCATGTGCATGTATGTGTACGTGTGTCTATGTACGTGTATGTATGTGTATATGTACGTGTATGTGTGTGCATGTACGCGTATGTATGTGTATGTATGTGTATGTATGCATGATGTATTTGTCGTGTGTGCATGTGTGTGTGTATATTTGTGTATAGGTGTGTGTATGTATATAGTTTTTGTGAGGAAGTATATATGTACTTGTGTATGTATGTACCCTGCACCCAAAGCCGAAGCCCTAAAACTCGTGTGCAGGACAGTGTCATCGTGGTTAGTGCCACAGGTCAGAGGAATCCCGTTGGCGACATCACGGGAGTGCCCCAACCAATTAATCGTGGCAGGCTTCCGGCTTCCTCCGTTGGACTTTAGGGTTCAGGGTTTAGGGTCCGTTAGGTTCTTGTGTTTCCGGCTTCCTCCTTTAAGCTTCAGGATCCAGGGTTTAGGGTCCATTAATTTCAAGGGTTTAGGGTTCAGGGTTTGGTTGTGCTGCTGCTTTAACTAGTTTGGCACCGATGGTTCCTGTGACGTCGTTGTTGCTCAGTCTTGGGCTGCCAGGCCACCGTCTAAAGCCTAAACCCTAAACCTTAACCAGGCCACCAGGTCTAATGGTATGGAATCTTGGAAAACATTCCACATCCGACACCTTAATTTCCCCAAAACTGCCAGAAACTGCAACCCGTCCAGGGGGTTTGGGTTTGTAGCATTTAGGTTTAGGATGTTAGGTCCGAGGGTGTGCGGAATAGGGTCCAAGGGTCAAGGTGAGGGCTCAGGTCAGGGATTGAAGGTTTACCTACGAACTCTTATATGGGAGTTTCTAAAATAGGGACCCCAATATAGTACCCTAAATAGTAGAGCACAAGTTCGGGGTTTGGGGTTTCGGGTTCAGAGGTGTGCAACTCATACCGGTCAGGAGGTTTTCTGGGCTTAGTGAGCTTAGGGTTTAGGGAGTGGTGGCCTGTGGGGTTCGGACGTGAAGCTCATTGTCAGTGTTGGGCTGTTGTTATTGCTGGGTTCGTATTTTAATTTTAAAAAGGAGTTTATTTCAAGCTACCAGAATAGGGAACCAGATTATTCACTATAGTTCGCTATTCTGGCAACGTCAACTTTGAGTTCGTAAGAAGAACCCAGATTGTTGTGAATTGCTTGCCTTCGCACTGGAGGTCCTGAGACCTGTAAGCCCCAAGCCCTGACACCCTGCACTCTTCCATCAAGATGTTTTTCGAGGTGTGAACAGGTAGTGATAGTAAACCCGTATAATCCCTGAGTGATTGTACCATAGCAAAACACCGAAACCCCGCGCAAGCTGTAAACGTCTGACATACTCAACTCCTGAATCCAACAACCTGCAACGCAGGTAACCCGCAACCGACACTTTGACTTTCAGGGGCTCCAGAGAACTAGGTGCCAGGGTCCATCGCATAGAAGATGCTGCTGTAATGTTGTTTAGAAGGACTTCAACAGAGAGTTTACTACTTTGTTCCGTGTCAGACTACATATAAGCTCACCGTCACCCTGCGGATGTTACGACTGATACGACGCGAGGAACCCCTGTTGGAGACCCTCCTACCAAACCACTGCAAAACCTCTTATATGAGGCAAAAACACATGAATCTATAAACGGAACCCTCGTAAGATTTGAGGCAAATTCCTTAACAAAGATCTTGTAAGATGTTAAGGGCATGTTCCTTAAAGATTCTTGGAGTTTACAGGAGCGTGCGGCTTGAGATGGTTACATGACTGGACCCACCAGATGCCCTCAAAAGACTCTGTAACTTGATCTTTAGAACATCTTAGAACCCTGCCCAAAGCTGTGCCTTAAGCCCTAGGTCCTCTGTATGGGTCAAGATGTGTCGAAAGTTCGTGCAGCACGCAACACTGCGCAAGCCCTGGCGGAGTCTTGTCGTGACGATGCTAAGGGCGGCTACATGCGGGTTTCGGGGAAGATAGCATTTCTACCCCCACTATAGTCCTGAATATACGTATACTATAATGTACCCCAAAACCCTATAGCTATAGCTCATGCTACTTGTTGAGGCCCGGGCGCAGCACTTTCGGCGGAGGGTTTTGGGGTTTAAAGGGAACTCCAGAAAGTTGGAATATAGAATAATGGCACGATCCCCTATATTTTACCTTAAAGGGACTATGATAATGATATTCCAACTTTATGGCTTCTAATGTAGGGTTTGGGGGGTTGAGTGGGGCTTCGGAGGTGCAACTCAGGCAAGCGACTCTTAACGTGCGTGCTGCCCTCCAGCTGAAGTGGGCTTGAAACAACCTCTAACTTAAGGGCCCATGTACCTAACGGTACTTACTTTGGCCTGAAAGGACTTGGTGACTTTACGGTGAAGGTGTTTACAGAACGCGTATGTTAGCACTTTGCCGTTCATGCTTCGTGTACCCCGATTCAACTGAAGTAATTCTGCCGATACTGCTCGTGGACAGAACTTTGCATCACCATCAGGAATCTATACTGCACTGCTTGTTCTGGGTACTCCAAGAATTGCAGGATTTTTGGATTTTGTCCAAACCCTAAACCTTTAACCCTCATATGGGAGTTTCCGAAAATTAGGGGTACCTTATTTTGGGGTCCCTATAATAACGATCCTACTATTTAGGGTACTATATTAGGGTCCCCTTTCGGAAGCTCCCATATGGCAGCGGGTCAAAACCTTCTGGTTTGTAACAGACCCGGGTCCCCCCTTACGCGACAAAGTTTGTAACAAACATGTGGGGCTTTCAGAAAAGTGGGGGGTACCTTATTTTGGGGTCCTTATAATAGGGATCCTACTCTTTAGGGTGCTATATTAGGGTCCCTATTTGTGGAAACTCCCATGTTTCTTGTTTGCGACAAAGGCTGGCGCGACAAGGTCCCTCGTATAGCATTGCCGCGCGACAAAGGTTTGCAACAAAGCGGGCGCGACAAAGGTTTGTAAACAGAGGGCGGTGGGGCCCCGCGACAACACGGGGTATTGACTCATCCCCATAATATCATCAGCGTTACAAGCAACCTGGCAGTCTGCAGCTGTGAGTTTGGAACCAATAGAGTTTACAGTTTAGGGTATAGATTTTCAGGGTTCAGAGTTTGGGGTTTAGGCTTTAGGGTTTAGGGTTATTAGGTTACGGGCCGGTTACGGGGGCAAAGCCATCGTGTGACCCCGCACTGTGGCTTCACCTCTCTTCTGGGTATCACCCGAGTCTGGTTGATTCGGTTTTCGGTTTAGGGTTTGGGGTTTCAGGGTTTAGGGTTTAGAGTTCAGCGTTTTGGGTTTACCAGCGCAGCCAGCGGCCTAGGCAAATCCGCTGTGATGCAATTTGAAGCAATTTCTATTCCTATGGGGTCACCCCTAAGTGCAAATCACCCCTAAGTGCAAATCGCCCCTAAGTCCCAAATTGCCCCTAAGTGCAAAAGCAATTTAAAAACATAAAATCGGGGTTGGACCCCTTCCCCTCGGTAGAACAACTTGCTGGGGGGCCCACCGGGGCGGTCATAGAATCGACGAAGTCTGCGGATACAATCCGTCCACACCTGAAGGACCAAATGACCCTTAAAAGTGGGGGCTCTATACTATACCCATATACTATGAATCCCTATATGGTATATGAACCTTAAAGCCTTTTAGGGTTCATTTCGTCCTTAAGGCTTCAACAAGACCCATCCCGCTGCTGCTTATGATTCGCTCGATCTCCGGGGTTCCACGCCTGCGGACAGAATCCATCCTCGGTTTTTTGGGTGAGTGAAGATCACAACTCTACATTCTCCTGTCCTCTCCTTACATTGCACGTCATTGCCTTTGCTCGCAGAAGCACTATGCAAGGAACCCATGTTTTATGGAGGCACCTACCCTCACCAGTAGTTGTTTCGAACCCTTTCCAGCCCGCCCTAAACCCCAAACACCGAACAAGGACTCTCGTTCACGACTCTTGGTGTCAGCCAACGCGCCCATCATAGAGCTCGATAGCGAGTTTCGGATGCCTGGCGGAATTATTTACGGTAAAATTGCGGGTGCAGAGATTAATTAGACCTTAGGGGTTTAGCGGTGTAGGGATTCAAGGATTTAAGGGTAAAGGGGCTCAATTTTAGTTTAGGGGTCTCTAAATGCCGAAAGACCAAGCCCTAAGCGCAAAAGCCTACGAGCCCCAAACCCAAAAAATCTCAACCCCAAGGTTTCTTAGGGGTACTTAGAAATAATTTTTGATTGTTTGCTATTATAATCCCTAAGAAACAGCTGGAGGGTTTCGGATCGAGCTCGGCCAAGCATTGCCGAATCCCCAGTGGGCGTTGACCCACGTCTACGACACGGTGCGACAGAGTCCATCGTGGCATCGTGCTTTACGCCGGCGCCGCCATCGTGCCCGCGCCCGAGTTCACACTGCAAGATCCAACAGCGCCCTTCCGTGGCGCCGTGATCTGGTGCTTTTGGCCAAGCACCACGCAGCCCCTGCATACAGGGAGCTTTCTCGCGGTGGAATACCCCACATGGGAGGTAAGAAATGGCCCAAGCAGGACCGTGGACGTGGCTATGGACACGACAAGGAAGACTGGCGTGGTTGGGAGCCACAGCAGCCCTCACGGCCCTGGCGTGTTTGGCCTGGTGCCAAGGCGTCCCCGCGTTCACAAGGCAAGGACAGATACGATGCGGTGGAAGTGCCAGAGAAGCCGGCCAAACCAGAGCCGGCCTTGCCGGTTACAGGATCGACTTTCCCCGGACTGCAGAAGGCCCTCACCAGCACACATCGTGCAGATGTCAGGGTGCGAAAGCTGCACGAGGAGCGGGAAAGGCGCGCCCAACAGTGGGAGGCATGGGCTGCGGACCAGAAGGTCCGTTTTATGAAACAGAGGAAGCTCTACGAGCAGGACCTGACGCGGATCGACCGCGACCTCTCCGAGGCGACAGAGCAAGGCCGCATTGCTGCTGCCCAAGTACAGGCTTTGGTCGTACAAGGGACTGCACCGATGGAGACGACCGAGCCGGAGGCCTATGGGCCAGCATGGGAAGCCCTATGGGCGCAGGTCTCTGCTCCCGCGGCGGAGCCGGCTTGCAACCCCGGCGGATTCTTGCAGGAGGCCCTCAATGCGGTTCGGTCGAACCGCTCTACGGATGCAAGGACAGCTGCCCTGTTGCCACCACGCCCGGCACCGACTGGCCCTCCTGGATGCGATGCCGAGACCGTCATGCGTCTTGCTATGGCTCTAAAGATGCAGGAAGATGGGCTCCACAATGGCCCACCGCCTGGTGGACCTGCCCCCTTCGCGGAGGCTCCGACATTTGGGATACCGCCTGGTTGTCCGGCGCCCTCGAATGCAGCCCCTCCGGTCGTCTATGCCGAGCCGCCAGGTCTGGATCCTTATGCCACTTCGCCCGGTGCATTTTGCAAAGTTACTCCAGCTGTCTCTCCTTCAGCCCGTGCAGCCCCTTATGGCGATGTAAGGCCCGGGGTTGTGGAGCCTCCCGAGTATGCTGCGCCGCCGACACCCGCCATCGAGACGACCATGGGCACACGTGCAACCACCCCTTTTGGGCTGGGCGGACAGACAGGAGTTATGACCGTGACCCGTGGTGGCATACCCCAGCAGTTTCCCATCCACGTGGAGAACGACGACGACGATCTGTCGGACGATTCTGGCTTCACGGGCACGCTCGAGCCCACCGGAACTGGCGACACTTCGGCCCACGGAGGTGCTGGCTAGCCTATTCTTGTGAGGGGTCGTCGGTGCACGGATGGTGGCAGCGCTGCTTCGGCCGCCTGGGGAGGCCTAGTTCTCGCGAGGCTTCATGGGTGAAGCCTCCTGAGACTCAGTTCCACCTCGGGGCTGGCCCTAGCGTGTTTGCCACTATCCAGGCCCACCGACGATCCGTCCGACTGAGAGAGGTGTATAGTGTGGACGCTTTTGTACAGGTATTGTCTGTAAGTAGTTTGCGAGCCTCCAACCAGACTGCTGCCCTTACTCTCTACGGGCCTGCTCCCTGTCGCCCGGCTATACCAACCGCCCGCGCCTTCGCCAGCTTTCACTGGGTGGTTCTGCTCTCTTGGTCTTGGAGGGACGGTTCCCCTAGAGATGGCTCGTCTTCCTCTGCCCATGGAGCAAGCGGTTTTCTTGATCGTTTCTGCTTCAGGGCCTCGCCACAGCTACCCCTCCTATCCGAGGGTAGTAGCCTGACTGTCATGTATCTTGGCAAGCATGGGGTTGCTGATGCCGGTGCTGGTTGGTGCTCTCGTGTGTGCATGCACCTGCGCGCTCAGTGTGCAGCCTCGCCCGAGGCACTTTTGACTTTTGGGTGCGGTTGCTTGGTGCCTAACAAATGCATCGGTGGCTCTGGGGCATTGACCAATGCAACCGCCTCCTCCTCTTGCACACCCCGCCTCGGACGCCTCACCGGCTGTGGATTGTCTTGGCACCACGCTGTGCTTGGGAATCTTCCTTTTCCCTCTTTTCTACATGCCGCTTTGCTTCCCTGCGCTGCTTCTGCGGCTACGGAGGTCTGCCTACCGCGCCACTGCGGGATTGCCTCGTGCAATGATCTTTCTGGAGTTATTTCGGATCACAGCGTGCCGAACACTTGCATCGGTGGCTCTGGGGCAAGGACCTGTGATCTTGATCTTCCCCTCTTGTGTCAAGGGGACCGTGTTGGCGTTCTACTTCGCCCTGCCTCAGTTGCCGGTGCTGTGACGCACACCCGACATGGTCACCATTTTGTCATTGACTCTGCCAGGCTGCTTTCTCACAGTTACTTGGGGTACTGTGCGACATGCCTTGCTGCTTTCGGGCGCACCCTTTCCTTTTGCTGGCTGGGGTACCTGCTCTGGATGTTATCTCGCACCTTCTTTGGTCGCACGCTCGCTACACGGCAGGTTCGGCGTGGATCACCCTGGCGTCCCCCCCCTCTCCTGGCTGCGCTCTCTGTTGTAGCTGCCGTCGGTTGTGACCGTCCGCTTGTCTGGGCCTGCGCCAAGCCCCCTACCCGAAGACTGAAGCCTAGCTGCAGGCCTGCCTTTCGCCCCGTCTGGTTGTCCGCTGTCTATCGTTTCCTTCTTTGCTACACCCTGCCGGTACAGGTGTGGGCGGCGCCAGGTGCCGATGATGGGGGTGTTCTGTTCACACACCTTCTCCGTGACGAAGGTTCGGGCGGGGTCGATGCTCCTAACCATGCTGTTGCTGTCGAGGCCCACGGCACTTTGCCATCTGTGTCGCTTCGTACGGACCATGCCGCAGATCCTGCCAATACCCTGCTGCACTGCTTGGTTTTCGCTGCCGGTTACCGAACAGAGCATCTCCTTTTACATGTGCCACACGGCACATGCGAAAGCGGCCTCGCTGCTCTCGCATCAGCTGCCTCTGCACTGGTTCAGAGACTCTCTCCTGCACAGCTCTTCCCGGTACGACCGCAGCCTGGCCAGGGCTACGCCAATTTTATCATCGTTCCGGACTGGATTCCAGAGGCCAGGCGACAAACCGTCCTGCTTGACTTCTCTAGACTGCGTGGGCCCACCTTTGCGCATGTCTTTCATAATCCGCTAACTTACCGCGACCTTGAGGCTGTCGCAGAAACACAAACCGATGAGTTATGGCACGCATTTGTGCCTGATGCCTTTGAACCGCTCGAGGTTGGTGGCGAGGTCAGGCTGGCAGAGGGGGCCCTAGTGTCCTTCTCTCCCCGGGACGTCCCGTTTGCTCGTGATTCTGACCTCACCGTGCTCTTGGATCGACCCTCCACCTGGCAGTCGGAGCCGGAACAGGTTTTGCTTGAAAGGCCTACCGCGGCATGGCTCATTCTACTGCCCCAGTCTACCCGCAGTTTCCCATACTACGGCACTTTTACGCCCGACCTGCAGCAAGCCATTGCCAGTCACATGGACTGCCAGGTACAACATGTCAGCTTCGGGCATCCCACCGAGCCTCTCAATGATGTTGTCCATCTCGGAAAGCTATACGATAAGCTTGCCGCCGCGGACTACCGGGCCGAGCACCTCCCTCCGGGGCCGAACCTGGGCTCCTTTGTCTTTGTTGATGCTAGACAGTCTGCCAGGGGTCTGTGCTTCCTTTTTGAAGGGGAAGGCTTGACTGTACCGACACAGGACGGAGCACGGGTCCTAGGTTTGCAGCCGCCCCGCGGTTTCCGCACATTTGCGGAACACCCTCTTCTTCAACGTGAAGGGCTCCCAGTTGTTGATGGGCGTGTGCTCGTTCTTGGCTATGAGCGTGACGAGTCCTCCGGGACGGACGATGCGGCCCTTTCAGTTGAGGCTAGTACCGCACCGGATGATGCACTTGTCCCTGCTTCTCCGCCTGCACCGACCTCTACCAGGGCCCTTCCCTGCTGCCTGGCCCCGTGCCACACCCACAGATAGGGTTTTTAGTCCTAAGCCCGAGGGTAGCCCCCGCCGCTTATGAGCTCCCTCTTGAGATCCCCGGCGCAGCGCAACGTGCCTGCGAGGTCTTGGCGGCCAAGCGCCGCGAGGTACTCGATACCAAATACGAGCATCTCGTGGTAGTCCAGCCCCAGCCGGACCGGCGGTTTTGCACTTTCATTGCGCTCCCACTCTGGGCCACACAAGCTGTATGTGTGGTTGTGGATGCCCGTGCCGTGGACGGGAGGCTCTTTGCAGCGTGCTTCGAGAGTGGACTCTACCCCCGATCGGTCCTAGTGCAAATCAGCCTGCGACCTTCGATAGGCTTCCAGGTCATGCACAACAGGCATGTGTATCGAGCCCAGGAGGCGCTCGTGCTTGCTAAAGGGGATGTTCTTTTCATCCTTCCCGCCCAGGCTGCCTTGCCCAGGACTCGCCTGCTGCCAGACATGCTTCGCCAGTCCTCTGACTGGCACGTCCCAGTGCCTGATTTCCACGGCTTCCTGCAAACCCCTTACTATCTGCTCACTGATGCCTGGAACACTGTCGCTGACTTTCCAGCTTCCGCCTCTACATCTTACGCTGCATTGAGGCAATTTGCTGTTGCCTTCTTGCGTTATGAGGATTACCGCACCTCTCTGCAAACGCTCCACCCCCGCATTGCAGATTACAATTTCCATGGCATATCTTGTCGAGCGATCTTCATCGCTACTGAACGTCCCATTGGCTCCCCGGCACCTCCTGCACGTCCTAGGCCATTACTGGTTGCTTATGCCGTTGACAGGCGTGCGGTCCTTGCAGACATAACCTGGCATGTTACCCTTCATGGCAGGGTTGACCCCGATATGCTTATGGCTGAATTTGAGCCTGCGCCCTCAGGTTTCTTTACCTCCATCACTGGCGGTATGCCGGAGCGCGATGGCGACCGGACCTTTCTCCGGGTCGACCACGGGCAAGTGCTCACGGTTGTTTATGAGGAGGATATGCTGGACACAGGTGAGGATGCAGAACAACATACGTCCGATGGGGACCCCGACAACACTGATGCCTCCAGCAGCACATCATCTGCACCGCCTGCCGCACCCAAGCCCGCACCAGCGCCCGTGCCAGGGGCACGTAACCGCAAGCGGCGCCTTGCGGATGGTCCCTCGGGCGCCCCGGTTGTGCACGGACACAGGTTTGCCGTGAACGTTGTCGTAGGCTGTGTGCTCAGTACTCAACTTGCTGACACAGAAGCCGTGCCTCTTCAGCCAACATGTTCCATCCCTGTTGTCACGGTCGGCTCTTCTTGTTCAGCTGTTGTCGTTGCTGCTTTCCTTGTCTCCTTCTTCGGAGCCTTGCCACTGTGGGCATCGGCTGCATGGGCCACCTTGCGTCTTCTCGGCACCACATGGAAAGCACTCGCCGGCACAATCAGTGGGCTTGTTTGCCGGGTTGCTTTACTCCTGTGTCCGCGGCCATCTGCCGAGATACAGAGTCGTCCACCAGCACTTTCCTCCCATATTCTGCACGGCAGCCGGCAAGCCAAGCTCTTGCTCGAACCACGAGCCGATAGTGGGCCCGCGCGCCTTGCCCTTGCCACACTGCGCTATTTCGCGCCGCGACTCGGCGAAGCATGGCGGTATTTACCCGCTGAGGATGCGGAGTTCATTCCAACCTCAAGTGGCTCCGAGGATCAGGAAGACATTGACCTTGCAGACCACTTGACACTTTTTGTGCTCCTGGCACCGGGCTATGCGCCTGAGCAAGTTGCGGTTATGCTCCGCTTTCCTTCCACCCTTGTCGAGGCCATGGACACGGTTCAACTTGCCCGCAACAGTGTGCATAGCCCCTGGTTTCATGTTCTGGCTCCCGTGGAACCGCAGCCGCAACCCGGCGTCGGTGTGGCGATTGCACTTGCCGACTGGCAGAGACAGGAGCAAATAGTCTGCCTCGACTGCACCCGCCTCGACGGGAGGCGTTTCGCAATTGCCGCGCCGAGTTATGCTGACAGACTTGCTCTCCTTCACCTTGCAGATATCCAGCTTAACCTTGGGGTTGTTGTCTACGTCGGAGATGACCCCCAACCTTTAGCTGCGGATGTCCAGGTTCATATGTGGACAGGCTTAGTCATTTTCTTCATGCCTCCCGAGCTTGCCCCCCCGCGGCCCTTCTCTCTAGCTTGGACCCTCACCGACTGGAGGATGTGGCGGCGTTCTCCACCAGAGACACCCCCAGCAGGCCCAGATGCCTATATTCTGGTGTACCATGATGAGACCATACTTCATCTGACAGACCCCCGGCGGCCCACCCGCCACCGCAACCAGATTGCCGCCGCGTTGGGCATAGCCCTGTCGTCTTTGCAGCTCCTGCCTTGTTTGCCGCACCGTCCTCGCCGTTTGCGATAGATCGGAGCAAGGCTCGATGCCCTGGTGTGCGGTCCTTCTTGACTTGCGTGCTTTGGGCCGGGGCTGGAAGGCTGTCACAGCGGTCCGGCACCAGCTGTCTTGCGACACTTTGCGTGAGGAGCTTGATCAGGGTTCCCCAGACGGTTGGCAAGCCTGCCTGCACGACATCCCTGATGGGCTAGATGAGATAGATGTACATCCAGGACAGGTTCTAGTTGCGTACCTCCGCCCTGGCCGTCTAGCTGTCCCTGCCGCTGCGGCCCCGCGGGCACTTGCCGCAGGCCCTGCAATTCCTATACTTGCACCTGCCCTTGCTGCCACCGCAGATGATGCCGCGCCACTGACACACCCGACAGGGCCCCCGCGGTCCTTTGGCCCTCCTAGCCAGCCTACTGACCGTGCAGTGCCTGAAGGACCGGGAACCGACCCGGCCTCGGATATCTCTGTAGAGGATGACAGCACTACTGTGTTGACCGCCAGCGTGCAGGCAGACTACCTCCCTGGTACCTTTCTTGTTCTGGCACAAGATTATTGTCCCGAACTTGTCCATGCTCGGTTGCCAGTTGGATGCACAGACAGCCATGCCCTCGAACAGGTCGGGGCTGCCAGAGCTCCATTTTCGCGGCTGTGTATGCCCCGACTTGTCGTTGCTTATCCGCAGACAGTTGCAGGGGTTGCGCTTATGCTTGCGCTTCCCTTTTGGACCCCGGATGGTGCCACGATTGCCTGCGACTTGACACGCCTCACCGGGGTCGTCTTTTCCCTACAGCTCCCAAGCATCGTACGACGGGATGACCTGCTCCGTGCCTTGGGCGTCGACATTGACGCGCCAGTTGACTTATACCTCCGTGACTTGCCATGGCCGCTCCCTCGAGGTGCGGTTTACGACCTGCGCACAGGCGACACCGTTGTTGTCACGCCTGTTGCGCAGGCCGCGCATGCTCCCATCCCTACCGGTCCCCTTAGCGCCCTGCTCGCCACAGCAGACGCTTGGAACCCTGACTGGGCCCCCGACGCTGCTTACCGGGATACTGTTTGGCTTCTCACTGAGACTGGTGATTTCATGTTTACCGTCGCTAGTGGACGCCGCGCATCTTTTAGGAATGATGTTGCGGCCTTGCTCCAAGTCCGAGCCGATCGCCTTTTGCTTGCAGCCCCGGATCCCGCTGTACAGGACCATGCAGCCAAAGGAGTCCTCTCTCTCAATGTCATTGCGGTTCTAGGGGACGAGCCTTCAGAAGTTGCTTCCCGGCAAGGGGGGGCGCTCTGTTTCCTGGATTGCAGGCCTGTTATGTGCGGCCTTACTCGACTGTCCGTCACAGACGGCGTCCTTGATACTGCGCGCCTCACGCGCCGATTTGCACAGCGGTGTCCCCAGGGCTACCAGCTCTGCAGGCTCAGCCCGCACTATGGTCCTTGTTCTCTTGCTGCGTTCTTGCCTATCCGCCCAGGCGAGGTCATTGTACTAGCGTTCATGCCGGGCGACAGCGTCCTTGTTGATCTCCCCAGCATGCCACCAGATGATGGGACCGGCGCCGACCCAGGGCCTGCCACAGGGGGTCCCACTACCGGCCCTCCTGCCCACCATGAGGCCACTGCTTCCGCCCCCGCTGAAGGCGACGCTAGCAGTCGAGGAAACGGCGATGCCGGTACTGGCGGCACGCAGCGGGCCGGCCATTGCTTTGTATCACAATGCAGTCCTGCCTCTATCTCTGCCCCCGCTCCGCTCCGAGAGCTTGGTGTCAGTCGAGTAGTTAAGTGGCGACAAGCTTGTTTTATCTACGGCTTGGCGTGCACCTCTATCCTCCTGCACTGTGCCCTTGGGGCCCTACCAGGCATTGTCGGGCGATTGTGTGCCAGCGCCATCATCACCTCCTTCACTGCCCTCCTGCCTGCGTGCACTGCATGTGCAGCGCTGCACTGGCGAGGCGCCAGACGCCCGCCTCTGGTGCTGTTCCTTGCCCTCCTTGTTGTTGCCCTCCCGCGGGGCTCTGGTTCACCCATTTGCAGCGCTGGTGTTGCCTACGCCTTGCAACGCCTTGCCCGTCCTGTTGCCACACCATGTCGCGTGCGTGGGGCTGCCATGCACGTCTCATACACTGCCGACTCCACAGGAGACACGTGTTCCGCTCCTCCCGCTCGGGTTGGACACCGGATTGCACCAACACACATCGCCCCTGCCGGTCCCTTTGTTCGTGCTGGTGTGACCTTAACCGAAGCTCCTTCCCTGGCTAACCCAGCAATCCCGATACGGATCCTCCGCCCTGGCTTTGCGTGTGGACTGCCCACTCTACTCGATCATGCCGCTGCACTTGATGATGCCTGGGCCTCTCATGCTTCTGCTCTGATTGAGGGCCTTGTTACACGCGGCGCTGCCCGCACAGGTGCCAGGACGTTAAGTACAGACGCTAAGTCGGTCACTGACCGTCCTGCCGCTAGTGTGCCGGTCCTCCAACTCGCCGATACTGTGCCCCTCACCCGCTACCAGAATAGCTGCCTCGAGCTTCAGACTCTTGTGCCTGTCGCCTATACCGTGCCTTGTTCAGATTGGCTCGACAATGACCTTAGGTTTTTGCGTGGTGCACCAGACACCTCTGCTGGTGTCAGCGCCGCCATTCAGGACTTTGCCTACTGGCATACAATCAGCGAACGCGGCGGCCATGCCCCCGCCCGCGTCCATGTCTACACTGACGGGTCCGCCCGTGGCACGTGTGAACCACTTGCAAGTGCCCCTTGCGGATGGGCGTTCAATGTCTGGATCGAGACTACTTCCGGCTGGTACTTCTATGGGTACGCCGCCAGCACTGCAGTCGCCCCGTATACCCGTTTCTTTCTTGGGGAATCGGATGACTCGCCCCTCACCAGCGAGTTGCTCGGCACCACGTGGGCATTGGCATGGATTCTCGAATATGGCCCTATGTTTGGCTGCCCAGTGCACTTACATTACGACTGCACCGCTGCGGGCGAAGGCACCTTTGCGCAGGCTGCGCCTGCCCACACGCCAGAAGTCTTCGGGGGGCCTTGCCTGAGTCACGTTGCGGTCGCTTTCCGGCAAATTGCCGCCGCCCGTGTCAGCCTCACCTCTGACTACATTCCGGGCCACCAAGGTTTGCTAGGCAATGAACTCAGCGACTCGCTTGCAAAGCATGTGCGCAGACAGGCCATTCCAATTGATGAGCGTGTCTTGCCAGAATGGCCGGCTCGTCTTGCCCGCCATGACCTACTTGAATGGGCGTGGCTCGTGCACACGGCAGGAACCGACCTCCCTACGCTTTTCGCCTTTGAGTCCGAAGCTGGACGCCTGCAGAACTTGCCACCTCTGCCACGCCCCCCCCCTCAATGTGGGGTCGGACAGCCCGCCGAGCAGCATCCACAGCCAGTACACTACCACATTAAGGCTGTTACCTTTAACATCCTTACTCTTTTGGAAAGCGCACATGCCAAACGCCGAGCCCCTGCCCCCACTGGCCTTCGGATGATGGGGCGACGACACGTTATTTTGCGCCAGCTGCGGTCTGCGAAGGTACTCTTTGCCGGTCTACAAGAGACCCGAGTTCAGGACACTGCTTTGTTGCCGGACCGAACACACATCCTCCTCCACTCTGGGGCAAACGATGCAGGCAATTACGGCTGTGCCCTTTGGGTGAGTAAGAGTGTACCGTATGCCCACGTCGATGGCCAGCCCCTTTGCCTAGAGCCAAAGCATTGCACTGTTTCAGCTGCTTCTCCCCGGCACCTCGTTGTCTGTGTTGAAGCACCACACCTCCGACTTGGGGTGATTGTGGTCCACGCACCTTCCGACCCACAAGACGAGCAGGGTGTCCTACATGCCTTTTGGGCCGCACGAACTCTTGAACTCGGCCGCTTACCCAAAGACATGCCAGTCTTAGTACTTGCCGATGCCAGTTCTCGCCTTGGTAGCCTTGAAAGTGAAGCGGTCGGCTCGCATCATGCCGAGACCGAGACACCAGCAGCTGCTCACTTTCACAGCTTTTTACTGCGTAACGGCCTCTGGCTACCTGCCACTTTCGCCGGCACCCACACCGGTCCTTCCTGGACCTGGCAATCTCCCCGTGGCGACCAGCATCGCATAGATTATGTCTGCCTGCCGCAGGCATGGACCTCCTTTGCATGCTCGTCCCGGGTCTGGCATACGTTTGAGGCCCTCCAGCAGCGATGTGATCACCTTCCTGTCACACTTGAATGTACCTTTGTGCGCGAAAGCCGATCACATATCACCGATTCCTTTCGACGGGTTGCATGCCGTCCTAATGACCTCGATCCCTCCATCGACAAGCAAGCCTTTTGCCGTGCTTTGCTCGAGGCCCCGCCGGTTGACTGGAACCTAGATGTCGATGGTCACTTTGGCGCCTTTGTCACGACCTGGACCGCTGCCGGTCGGTCCGTACAGCCCAAGACAACTGCCCGTCCTCAGCAAAGCTTCTTGTCAGCGCATGCACTTGGCCTTATTCGCCAACGCAAAGATACCCGTATAGCACTCCGTGCTGCGGAAAAGGAACTGCACCGGCGCCTCCTCATCATTGGTTTCGCTGCCTTTACGCATTCGCGGGCACAGACCTGGCTCACTGCTATCGATGTGCTGGCTACCTGGGGATGGGCCCGCCAGGCATGCCGAGATCTTGCTGTCACATGGAACCGGCTAAACCAGCTGTGCACCAGTGCCCGACAGGCCGTCAAGTCCGACCGCTGCCGTTATTTACAGCGGCTCGCGGATGACGTTAAGCATGCTGACCTCCGCGATCCGCGCCACCTCTACCAATGCGTCCGCCGGGCATTTCCCAAAGCTGCCTCTGCGAAGCGATCCCGCTTCACTCCGCTTCCTGCGGTCACTCTTGCCAATGGCATGCTCGCAGCTACCGGCGTCGAGCGGGCTGCACGCTGGAACAGCCACTTTGCCGCACAGGAATGTGGAACGATTGTGACCTCTTCCGCCTACTGCGAGCAACTCACCACAGCCACTGCCATGCCACCGCCCTCGCAGCCACCTGTCTTTGACCAGCGCCTGCTTCCCTCGCTCGCGGAACTTGAGCGGTCAGTGCTACAGCTCAAGCGGGGCAAAGCAGCAGGGCCTGACGGAGTGACCTCGGAGTTGCTCAAGTTGGCTGTCCCAACCGCAGCACGCCATCTTCTGCCTCTTTTTGTCAAAAGTTTGCTCACCCTGCGCGAGCCCGTCGAATTTAAAGGTGGTGCCTTGATGACGCTCGCCAAGAAAGCGTCAGCCGCTTTTGAGTGTGACCGATATAGGAGCATTCTTCTCTCGAGCGTGCCAGGAAAGCTGCTGCATAAAAGTTTGCGGAAGCGCATTGCGCCCCTCCTCCAGCATGCAGGCCATGATCTCATGGGCGGTGTCCACCCAGGGGTTGGAGTGGATTCAATCTCCACGGCGGTGCGCAGCTATCAAGCGCACGCCCAGGCCACCGGAGGCCACCCCGCTGTGATATTCTTTGATGTCCGAGCGGCCTATTACCAGGTCGTGCGTGAGACACTCACCGGTGCGGCCCCGGACGATTCTGTCCTCAGGTCCCTTTTCTGCAAGCTCGGTGTACCAGCTACCGCCCTTGCTGAACTCCGTGACCATCTTACCAACCTCAACCACATCATCGATAGTGGCGGGTCGCAGCACCTCGAGGCTTTCACTCGTGAATTGTTCCGGGGGACATGGTTCAGGCTCGACCAGCACATCGAACTTGTCGCCACTGCTGCTGGGGTCCGCCCTGGCGACCCGCTAGCAGATGTGTTTTTTGCGCTTAGTTTTAGCGCCTATATACAGTCCGTGCAGACCTCGCTCCAGCGTCAGACCCTGGTCACTACGCTGCCACCATGCGCTACATGTCTGCCGGTCGACGGGCACACCGAGCCGAGGGCTCTGCCTCCCGCGTCTTGGGCGGACGACTTCGCCGCCATGTTGTCGGCAGGTAGTCCCGCACAAACCGTTTCCAAAGTCCGGGTCACGACATCGGCCTTCCTGACGCACGCCACTTCCATTGGCATGCAGTTGTCTTTTGCGGTGGACAAAACAGCTGCGCTGTTGCCACCAGCTGTGCTCTTTGCTGGTGTTTGTGAGCCCTCGCCTCGCGATTCCCCTTACGAGTACTTTATACCCGTGCGAGATGACATTACAGGCCAGGAGGTCCACCTACCGGCAGTCCAAGCCTACAAGCACCTTGGAGGGATTGTTACCTGCTCTGCATCCCTCCTTCCCGAGGTTTACTATCGCTTCTCGCAGTGCACTTGGACGCTGCGGCCGCTCCGTGGGTCCCTCTTCGGGAACCCCAGCATCCCACTGCCGTTACGGCGTACTCTGCTTGGTTCGCTTGTCGCCACCAAGTTTACGTTCGGCTCAGCCACCATGGAGCTGCACGTTGCATACCAGTGGCGGCTGTGGGCAAGGCTTTACACGTCTATCTGGAAAGCCCTGCAGCCCCGGTCTTCTGCCGTCAGCAAAATCCATTCTTATGAGATTCTGCGGCAAGCGCAAGCCCTTGCCCCGCCACTTGCCCTCGCCAAGGCCCCTGCCAGTTTATACTTGAGGGTGCTGGAGCACGGGCCTGCGACCCTGCTCCATCTGTGGTGGCTTCAGTGGGAGTCCGCTCCGGGGCGCTCGTGGCTTGCCATGTTGCAGGGTGATCTTGAATACGTGGCTTTGTATTGCCCTGCCGTGCGGCTTGTCCTCGACTCCCCCATTCCCCTCGTTGCCCTAACGGAGGCCATGCTGCAGGACCGCACGTGGTGGCGACGGCAGATCAATGCTGCAACGAGGATCTACTTTGCTGATCTCGAGCGATGGGCACACCAACGCATTGAGCAAGTCGCGGGCCCAACGCCAGCCCCCTCGCAGGCTGCTCAGGCTTACTCCTGCCCCTTTTGCACCGCCAGCTTCCCACTCAAGAAGCATCTAAGTGTACACATCGCTCGACGGCATGGCCTGCCAGCGCCAAAACGCCTCTTTGCTCCACACGCCACGTGCCTCGCCTGCCTCAAGCATTTTCACTCCATCCCAAGGGCACAAAACCATCTTAAGAGTGTGCCTCGCTGTCTCGAGCGGGTACACCTCTTAATGCCCCCGATGGAACTGCCAGAGGTGAAGGCGATTGAGCATGCCGACCGCGCTTATCAAAAGCGCATCCGCTCTGGCTGTTGGCAGGCGTTCGATGCCAACCGTCCGGTGCTCCAGGCCTACGGCCCCCCTCAACCGACGCGCGCAGAACTTCTGAGCGCGCTCGGGGAAGAGGCGCCCATCTCCCTATTGGTTCAGCCACCACCGAACCCCGCGTTCACGGCTTGGGTATGTAATAGTCTGCATGCCCGCACGTGCGAGCCCCCGAGAACAGGAACGCGTAGTTTCTGGTGGAGGCGTATCCAGTAGATCTCACCCGTTTCACTGAATTCAATGCTTCGGATGCGTCTGTCGACTCTGCAATCCGCCGAGAAAAAAAAAGAAACAGCTGAAATTCTAATATTTGCCAGGGTTCTAAGGTCAGTATAGGTTTTAGGTGGAGAATGTAACCTAACTAGGGTTTAAGCTTTAGGGAAAATTGTTCAAGCCAGATCCCTAAATACCGGGAGGCACGAAGTCTAGACGGCTGTTGGAAGAAGACGCTGTGAGACTTCAGGTGCAGAGTTTTAGCGCTTCACAGGTTACAAGTTTGCGAACCAAAGTGTCTAGGGAGTGGGGTTCACCTTTCATGGCATGGCACACGAGGGAAATGGAGGCTGGTGCTGCCCGTGCCGTTGGAAGGTGAGAGGCCTGTTGAGATCAATTGGGATCGGTCGCCACGATCTAAGGATAGTGTGGTGGAACAGCTGGATGGTGGAGAAGACTGGTGTTTCCGTTGAAAGGATCACAGGCGCACGAATGCGGGTTAAGTTTCTGTGCCGTTGGCACTTACTCCTGGTTCCATGGCATACCGGTTCTTATGACTGCTGCCATCACAATCACACCACTACGACCCCGCTTTTCACCTTGCGACTATGAGCATCCTTATTGCTGCAACTCAGTAACCGAGGGTCAGAAGCATGGAACGCAGTGTACGACTCTCAAAGGCTTACCGAGATCCATTCTGGAAGTCAAAATCAAAAGGCCTGATCCCAAAGGGTCCTATGTACTTTTATGGGGGATACTTCCCTGGATCCTAACAGTAAGTCCTAATATAGAAACCCTACCATCTACTATACAGGTACATAGGACCCTTTGGGGATGTTTGAGAAGGCCAGCTTGAACCTGAATGCTCAGTTAAGGCATTCTGACGTGCACGAAAACCATAGCATCCAGCTACGGAGATGTCGTTCTGTATAGAAGTATTGCTTGAGCATCACCTTTCCATGCAAGAACTTACTCTTACTGCAACAAGCCCCAAAACGTATGACCGTGGCGTCCCAACCCTCCCTCATCGTTTGGGGGAAAACAGATGGTCCCCGAGTGCTTAAGTGGTCGGGGCACATAGTGAACTAGGAGTGGCAGTTGGAGAAGGGGCAGGAGGCGTGGTACTGTTGATGGACAAAATCCTGCATTACCCATTATAAGGAACATACCATAGTTCCCATAGTTTAGAGTCCTAAGTCGTAAGGGTCATGCAGGATTTTGTCCATCAACAGTGGGAGTATTAGGAGGAGGGGCAGGAGTGGGAGTAGGAGTAGGAGTAGAACCCAGGTATGAACCACCGGCATGGCACGTCTCGCACCGCTCTGCGCAAACCAGACTTAGTAGGTCTTGAGCCCTAAACGCTTTAACCTCAAACTCTTAACCCTAAACCCCTAAACCCCTAAGCCCTAAACCCTAAACCCCTAAGCCCCAAACCCTGAACCCTAAACCCTGAACCCTAAACCCTAAGCCCCTAAGCCTGTCTGGCAGGGCAGCATCTCAGACTTCTGGCTCAATCCTCCAGCTGGGAGCCCATCTTAACGGAGGTTCTGAACAGGAAGGGGCCGGAGGCAACTTGGCACTTTGAGGTTTTAGGGTTGAGGGTTTAGGGGCATGTAAAACGGAGGAGACTGGGATGATGCGAATGACAGGTTTTCCCGCTTGTGTCTCTGCCGGACCTGGCTGGCAGTGTGGAAACTCCTGTCGTAGCTACGCGAACCCGAAGCAAGTTTGCAACTCGTAGGGGCCGCAACTACCTGTAAAGTCTTACTAGGAGCGCAAGTAGAACTTAAGCTTCTTGGGGTACGAAAATCCCCATCTCCTTCTTTCCTGAGGACGCTGGGCTTGTAAAGAGAGAGGTCCGAAGCTCCCTTGCTTCCATGTACATGCCCGATGTTACAAATGTTGAGGTCACAACAGTACTTCAGAAACGAAATACTCGTAAATAGTGGTAGTACTGTCACAGCAATACTTGAGAATCGAAATGCGTAAATAGTTGTAGTAATAGTGTTATGGTTTAGGGAGATGGAGCTGCTGATGTGAGCAGATGTGAGCAGTGCAGCACGTTTGGAGGTAGAGCTCCAACTTCCGCGTACGACGGTTCACATAGCGTGCTCGAAAGATGCCGGCCCAGGCAGTTCTTTCCGAGCACGGGCGGCCTGCATTCGGAAAACAATGGTCACACGAAATTGTTATTCCTCCTTCTACTGCCGCCACCACCATTACTACTGCGTCAGCTCGTCATTCATCTTCTGCGACTAGTCACAACTGCTGCGCGGCTGCGATGCTGGTGCCCTGACGACGACAACGGCCACGACGTGTTTGACATGCAGTTGGAAGTGATATAGGGGCCTTGATAATTACCTATAAGAGTTTGGGGCTTCCTGATTGTAAATATAGTATATTTGGCCCCCTGAAACCCTATTCAAATCATTAAGGCCCCTGCATTACAGCACCCTTATAATTAGTAACCCCCATAGACCCGTTCAAAGGAACCCTACTATAATTATTGAGGCCGCTATATCATTCTACCCTGATAGATCCCTTATAGCAACCCTTATGGATCCCTATTCTAAAGATTCAGGCCCCCATATTGCTGCATTCGTTGCAACATCCGCTCTCAGCCCAGGCACAAGCACAATCCTTTGAGCTTCGTGGCCTGGCACGGCTACGGTGGAATGCTTCTTTAGGGTTGGGGTTTAGGAGTTAGGGTTTTTAGGGGCTTAGGGGTTAGGACAGCCAGAGTAAAGTCTTGGAGAATTTGCGGTATACGAGGCCACAGTGTTTACTAAGTCAGCTAATCTTAGGGGTACTTAGACATAGTTCTTAATTTTTGGTTATTATAATCCCCTGAGCCCTGAGAAATAGCTAAAAGTAGACATAGGTTTTAATTTTGGGATATTATAATCCCTGAGCCCTGAGAAACAGCTAAAATTACAATTTTTGCTAGGGTTATAAGTTCAGTATAGTAAAGGGAATCCCAGAAAGTTGGAATATGGTTTCAGGGTAGGATACCCTATAATTTACCATAAAGGGTTTAGGATAATCATATTCCAACTTTCTGGCTTTTACTTTAATTATCACCCGCCCAGGTCTCTCGGATCTACACCAGTGTCCGACTATCCTACAGCTCACAGCAACGCCCCGAGCGCGCACCGTGATGGATGAAGGGGGTTCAGGCGGATACCGTGATAGGATTGTTGGTTTAGGGTGTAGGATTCCGTGGTCTTGAGATCTTGTTTTGAGGTGCAAGCATTGGCGCAGACCCCGGAATAAGGGTTGGAACGTAGGGTGGGATAAAGTCGCTGCTAGAACATATGGTGCAATGAGTTCTCTTGATGGTAACATTAAAGTTCTTCTCATCAGAATAGGGTTTGGGGTAAACAGCACCTATACGATAGTCTGAACCCTAAGGTACTGATACTTATTCAGGCTTGTATGTTCAGCCCTAACCTATATTCTCCACCCTAAACCAGAAGAGCCCTCAGCCCTACACCCTACTAAACCACACGTGTTCTGCGATGCGTGCTCACGGGTCAGTCTCATAAATACCCGTCAACCGGGCCTGTCTCGTGAACCCAGCAAAGCTCGAATACGTCTTGCAGCCCTGCAAGCCTTTCCGGTTTTTTAGGGTTCTAGGATAAGGGTTTGGGGCTCAGGGCTTTTGGTTTCGGGGTTTTGCTGTTACGTATTCAGTAGGGTCTTAGGTTTAGGTTGTAGGTTTTAGGAGCTCAGGGTTTAGGGGTTTCTCCACGCCATCACACCATGTAACAATTCTAAGCCGAAGCGAACAGTTTCTTCAGACATCCGGTTGATGATATAAATCCTGCATTACCCATAATAAGAATATACCATAGTTCCCCTAGTTTAGAGTCCTTAGGGTCATGCAGGATTTTGTCCATCAACATTTTCACGCCTCTCTGCACGCCGCCCGCAGGCCTCATCTGCCTCGGACAAGACATCACCATGTTGAAGGACATCCCTAAACCCTAAACCCTAAACCCTAAAACCCTAAACCCTAAGCCCTAATACCCTAAACCCTAAAACCCTAAACCCTAAACCCGAGCCAAACTCCAAAACTGGAGATCCCCATTTAGGTGGTTGTCGAAATTATGGTCCCTTCTTGGGTCCCCATTATAAAATACGGCACCTATTATTTAGGGTACCCAAGAAGGACCATAATTTTGACAACTACCCATTTGGGAGTTTCCGAAAGATAGGGGGGTAGCTTATTTTGGGGACCATATAATAAGGATCCTGCTATTTCGGGTACTTAAAAAAAGGGTCCCCTATTTTGGGACACTCCCATTTAGGGTTTAGGATTAGGACAAGTCATTGGTTTGGTCAGTGTTTGGTTTCATCGGCATTGAGGGCTCAGGGGTTAGGATGGACCTTCAACTTGAAGCCCTAAACCCTAAACCCCAGTCTAGGGATCCAGACGTCGCTCTCGCTCGGATTGTCTGCTGACTGCTTGCATAAACCCTGAAACCCCTAAACCCTAAACCCCCATTTAACTTGAAGCACAGTGATCACCTGAAGGACTTCGACAGGCGCAAGTCCTCGCTGATGAACTTGGCTGCGTGGCTTCAAGTTTAGGGCCATACCTGGACCTTGAGGAACCTACATTTTTGGGCCCCTTAGTATGAGTTCCTTATATTTGGAGTTTCCGAAAACAGGGGGACCCTAATCGTAGTACCCTCGATGCTAGGATCCGTATTATAAGGACCCCAAAATAATGTACCCCTAAGTTTCGGAAACTCCCTTTTGAGTCCTTAAAGGGGTAGGCTATTTGGGGTTAACTGAGGTACGGAATCAGGATCCAGGCTGGTACTATAGGGGCCTTAAGTTAATAATTACGTATAGTTACTCTTTCGGGGGCTCCTGATCGTATGTAGAGTATAATGGGCCCCAAAACCTTTTTCTAATTATCAAGGCCCCTATATGACCGAAAAACCTCCAACCCTCAACCCTAAAGCGCGTTTGGGAGGGTTTTAGGGCTTTAGGCTGCTGAGTTTTGGGGCTGGAGGCTGGCATCTGAACCACGAGCATACTTGGAGGTGCATGGGTAGTCATAGGTGGGGTTTTAAGTAGGGTAACCATACTTATAACCCTTCATTAATTATTAGGGGACTTATAACCCCTCTTATAACTACCATGAACCTCCAAGTGCTGTCCCAAAACTTCGTGAGTGTTTATGTCCCTATAGGGTTTAAGGTTTCATGTTTGGGGTTTAAGGATTATGCCTATTCCAAATTTTAGGTGTACAATCAGACATTGACACCCATGCAAGATGGTGCCGTGCTGGGTTCATGTGTCACTGCAAACTTAAAGTTCTTGGATGTACTCGTTTCTTGTTTGCCCTTACTGCAAAAGCCAGAAAGTTGGAACATCATTAGCCTCATGCCCTTAGAGTAAAGTTTAGGGAATCCCAGTATGGATCATCCTAAATCTATGTTCCAACTTTCTGGGGTTCACTGCACTACTGCTACTATAGCCTATGGCCATACTGTTTCTCACTATTTCGCTAATACGGTTCGTGTTCGTGGCTCTGTCACTTAAACCCACACGACCCAATCCAGACACCCCAGTCCCCGCCGCTCAAGCCCTAAATCCTTCTCCTTAAGTTTAAACCCCTGGACCGCTAAAGATCTAAATCCGAATTCCTTCAAGCCACAATCCCCTAAACCCTAAGAGACTTAAACCCAAAAACCCTACGGATCCCTTATAGAATCTTAAGCGGGGCCCTTTTCGGGAGTCATGACCCTTGTACACGTGGACGAACTGTGGATGAGAGTTGCCATCTTTGGGTTTGGAGCTGTCAACAGAGCCTACTTGGAGCTGCAGGGGACTTGGTAAGGGCTCTTAAAGGGATCCTTATAGGGATCTATAGGGTTCCTTAAAGGGATCTATGGGGTTTAGGGTTTAGGGTCCAGGGTCTACTTGGAGGGGCAGGGGACCTAGTAAGTAGGTTATCAGTAGAGTTATAAGTGCCCTAAATGGAGTTACCCTAATTACAACCCCACTTAACCTACTTACTAGGTCCCTGCCCCTCCAAGTCTGCTTTAGGATTCCGAGGCCCTAGGGTTCAGGGATCCGGTTCAGGGTTCACCGGGTTAGGATTAGGTTTCTAGGCCAGGTTTCCGTGTTCAGGGTTTGGAGTTAGGGAATTTGGCCTTATGTTTGCTTAAAGTATTGCACTGCGCCTCCTTGAATCCGAATTATGACATCATCCGAGAGACGTGCTCGGCAGGTTCAGGGCATTCAGTGCGAGATCCTTCCAGGGCTCATGGATTAAACTTTCGGGTTTTTCTGGTTTATATTGGACGTTTAGGGACTTCGGCTGAGGACATAGGATTTGGGTTGACGCAGGAATGGTCGGTGACGTGGTGGGGTGAGCGGTTGGCATTGTACTCTGAGCTCGTGGCGAAAGCGTTGATGCATTGGTTGTGAGTTGGAACTCTTCAACACTCCAAAGCCTAGCGTGTACCCGTGGGATTGATCTTGTGTCTTCTGTGGTACGCCAGGATAATTAAAAAAATGAAAAGGCGGTCCTCAAGATGAACGCTACATGAAGCAAGTCTGCAACTTTAGCAGCACTGTAGCACACTTACGAAGTGTTGCAAGCCCTAATCCCGAAGCCTATAAACCCTAAACCCTCAGTCAGAAACCTCCAAGGGTAAAAGGAGGGACCCTTAATAAGGACCCCTAGGTATATACACTTACTGTAGCTATTATACCCGTAAAGTAGGGGTCCCCATTAAGGGTCCCTCCTTTCCCTTTTGAAAACCCTAAAGCGCACAGTCCCGAAGCCTGAAACGGCCGACCGGGGCAGGTTTCCGATCGCTTGAAGGTGCCCCTGGATGAGACGCCAGGCTACTATGGGGAGCTAAGTAGTTTAGGGTTTAGGGGTATTGATAATGATTATACTATACTATACTATACCCCCAAACCATATTTTAATCATTAAGACCCTGTATTGTGCTACTGTGGTCCACAGCTGCAGGTGCAATCGTTGTGGCCATAGCTGATGTGCTGCTAAGGCTTGGGATTTAGGGTTTAGGATTTAGGACGGATTGCAGGTTTTGAGCTGACTGAAGCTTCTTGGCAGAATGAATCATTGCTAGAAGTTGCATTTACCGACTCTGACTGTCTTCATCCTACACGTATTCTGGTGCCATTTTAGCCAGTACGGCACATGCGAGTCTTACTACTGTAGTTACATGCAAGCAGTACCTGTGTTCTTTGCATTTTATACTCTTTCAACCCTAAACCCTAAACCCTAAACCCTCTTTCTGGCTACCCCTAACCCCTACACCCTATTTGCTGAGTTTACCTGCTCTGGCGACTTCCTGGTTCGTGCCCAGTCTTATCTTTGGTTAGTAGGGAATGGAAGAATGGTAGTAATAGTAGTTATAATTGTACCCCATTCCTCCATTCCCTACTAGCCAAAGCTAAGAAATTTCAGCTTTCGCACACTTTGAACAGCACCCTGATGGCATTGCTGTGGCAGCTAGGAATCACCTTCTCCCACCTTAGTGTGCCCTAAACCCTACACCCGAAACCCTGAATCCCTAAACCCTAAACCCCTAAAACCCTAAGCCCTAGATTTTAGAGCTCCAGGCCTCCAGGCCTCCATACTCCAAGGCCTAGAGGCCTAGAGCCACACCTTAAGGCCATGCCCTTATGTCCTTGAAAGTTTGTCCCATAACTTTATCTCTCTCGGACCGGTGTTCGGTTATGCCCGAACATTTTCAAATGGTTTGGTGGAATTTGTTGTCAATTCAGAACACGTCGTAAAATGTTGTATGCTGCTAAAACAATGTTGCGGGAAACGAAGAGCTTGCTGAGCTTGCCATCTGAGAGTGCAAGTGAAAACACGAACACACGAAAAAGCACGCCACCAGGGCGTGATGTTCTGAGATTTTATCGGCTCTGCTGCCAGCCTCCCTCCTTGAGGGAAGACCAGCTCAGGATGATAAGCGCCGCCAAAGTTTCCTTTGAAGAGGCGCGGTTTACGGTTTAGGGTTTGGGGGTTTAGGATTTAGGATCTGGGGTCTAGGGTTTAGGGGTTGAAGGGTTTAGGATTTAGGGGTGAGGAGTTTAGGATTTCGGGTTCGACTCTAGCCGGCTGATCCGGGGACTGAAACTTCGTGGTTAGGAGACCGGCGTCTTGACGATAGTCCCGCAGACGCCGAAACCCGTAATTAAGGCACATATTGCGGAAAATGCCAGAAGTTATCATAGGAACCCTGAGAAGATTTACAGGATATGGCATATACTATACTTTACCTCAACACCGAATAACCTACCTTTTTAGGTTCCTTACGATGATTTCCTTATATAAGTCCTTAAAAATGTACTAAAGGTAAATCTTATCAGGGTTCCTATGATATCTTGTGGTACTTTCCCCGCAACTACGGGGTGTTGGAGTCTCTGGGGTAGCCTTCAAACACCAGTGCAGTTCGCTTCGAGAACATGGGGACCTAAGTAGTGGTTTGGGGTTTAGGGTTAGTAGTTGTCAACTGCCAAATCTATCTTGGAGTTCCGTATTTTCATTATCGTATACTAGACCCCTAAAACTCGTTTCTAATGATTCAGGCCCCTTATGTAGTAGGTCTTGCGGTCGGCATTGTTGCAGTGAAGGGGGAACAGGAACCGTGTCGCCGGCAAAGACGATTACCATTAGCGACTACTACGGCGGCTGCTGCTACTTTAATCGGAAGCAGACTACGACGACTACTACCATCATTGCGACTACTATTTCTTAAGGGTCCATATACCCATGTTTACTGAGGCTCAAAGTAGTCTAGCTTCTCTAGGGCAGAAGTTTCGACTCTACGAACACCCGGACCCTTCTGTATGCAGCACCACCTCGGGCTAATGCCTGTTGAATCCAACACCGGACCTGATATCAGAGAAATTCTGTGAGAGATCTTCCTTTTAAAGGGATTCATACGGGTGCTATAAGGGATCTATAGGGATTTGGGTTTAGGGTTATGATATAGAAATCCTTGGTGTGCAGGCTGGGGAGTCCGATACGCGGAGAACGTTGTCAATGAATCTTGACGGTGTGTCATGGTGCCAGGGGTGATGTTGCTTACTTATAACTACCACAAGGACGACTGTGAATAACACCAGCAGCACTACTAGCACTGGTACTGCGACATGTCTCGACCACGGCTACTGCCGTTATTGCACGTTGCATCTACGTTGGAGTCCTCTGTATCTTGCAGTAAGCTGTAGTTTGATTATGGAGGCCACTTGTTGGCAGGTGTTTGCATTGGCCATTGATGTTTCTGTTGCCTTGGATTTCAGCTGTTGTTGTTGCTGTTGCAGAGAAGCTGAGGATTTCAAACTGTGCCAAACGCCTCCACGAAATGGTGAGCATCTTGACTCGTTGGTCAAAGACCGCTGGGAAGCAGGAAGCTTGGATTCGGATTCTTTCGGGCAGCGAGGAAGCTCCTCAAGGTGTAGGAACTCCAATGATTAATTACACTGAACAGGCACAACCCACATAGTTTCAAGTAGCCCAGGGCATTTAAATGATTCCTTACAGATGCCGGCTGGGTAAGGCAAGTTGTATGCTACTGCACGCATGGCGCGAAGCTCAGCTCCGCACACCCTAAATCCCGACAAGCCGCCCGGCTGTGCATCTAAAACCACACAAGCTCCATTATACTGGGTGTTCCTAGTGTCACTGTCCTTGCCGTATAAACCCACGGAGTTATAAAGCACAGTCCTTTTGTTTCGAGTCTAGGGGGCTTAACGATTATCGAAGGGGAAAAGGAGGGACCCTTAATGGGGACCCCTACCCTATAATGGGCTATATAATGGGTATATAATAGCTTATTAAGGGTCCCTCCTTTTCCCCTTGGATATGAGCTGTCGCAATCCCCTATCCACACCTACAGAGCCCGAGCAACCAGAAAGCCCCCAAAACCAGCTGAACCCCTTTATAAGGACTTCTACACCCCCAACCATAAACCACACGGCATCAACGCTAAACCATGAGTTCTGGAGCCCCAAGCCCTAGGAAGGCACTCAACAAACAACGAGAAATGCCGAAACCCCCTAGTTCAGCCTTGAACCCCAAACCCTACTAACTAGTAAACCCTGAACCCTAAATCCTAAACCCTGAAATCCCACCCCCCCCCCCCTTAAACCCTGAACGAGGCAACATCAACATGGCCTCTGAGCTGACACGGGAAAAGCCCATCCAACTTCATCCTTCTCGGGTGCAGCTGCAAACTATTATCGAAGAGGTGCTTTTCCCTACCGGTTAACCGGGTTTCATTCATAAGGGTTTTGCGGGTCTTTTAGGGAAAGAGAATAATGGAGTATAGTTGAAAAATGACGTACTCCAAAACCCGAATCTAGCTGCGAATGCCCCTTTTTGAGGGTTTGGGGTTTGGGTTTCAGGCCTTGGCGTTAGGCGTGTGCCGTTAAGGGTTTAATCTTTGAAGTCTGGGATTTAAGGTACAAGGGTTTAAGGGCGCTTTGGGGTTATAAGGCTGTGGGATTTGACGACAGGCACGCTGGAAGCCCATAATCTGGTGGGGAGCGACCTGTAGAAGGAGTGTTGGATTTGGGAATAGTAGCATCCCTAGACCCAGAATGCGAGCAGGGCAGAAAAATTAAGTTTCGTGCTTTTCGGTTTAGAGATGTTTCTTGTTTGGAGCAAGACCCCGTGCGCCACGAGCCATGTGTGATCGTACTACTGCAGATCGCAATGGTCTTCAAAATGGTATAAACATTACTGTCAGGGTGCTTCCGGTAACGGTAATTGCCACTACTTGCCAGATCATAATAGTTGTCACCCCATCTCATCTTCACTATAACCACCGCAACTTCACATGCGCAGACGTTCCCATCCTCATGCTGTCATGAGCATGTCGTTTTTCCGCCCTCGCCTCCGAAGCATAGTAACATCAACATGAAACAAGAAAGGTGCTAGTGAATGGTGTTAGCAAGCAGAATGCCAACACTAGTCGACGCCGGCATCGAAACAAGTGTTGGCCATCATTTAGGTATATAACACCAAGAGACCTGAGAGTGAGAACGCAAGATGTAATGGTTACGATGAGACGACACTCCCGCCACACCACCACCAAAGCCACCTCCAGGTTCACATCAACAACATCACTCGCAGAAATATATATATATATATATAGATGTATTCTTATATGTTCCTACTACCTCGAGCATTACCGTGATGTGTCGGTAGGACTCCCGTTCACGGAGCAGGGTGCAAGGGGTTGGAAAATGTTAGGGTTCAGGCTTCGTAGCTGAAACGACTGGGCTTCGGACGCCTGAGTCTGCTTAATGGAATAGAATCAGAACGACAAGATATGGCCGGAATAACATAAAATAGAATGTAAATTTCAATAAGCTGTGAGTCAATCCCTTTCGTGCAGGTGATGCTCCTTGTCGGCAAGTCCATACAAGAGCGCATGGACAAGCTGACAACTGGCCCCGCTGGGCTCGGTATTCGCCCAAAAATCCAGCTCATCAACCAGGCCTGCTGACACTTGGAGCATGAATGGCTAGAAGATACATACATATGTGGTTCGGAAAAGCTGCGGGTGCTTATTTTCAGTGAACGATGCGATAGTCGGATCGCGACCAAACTTCCAGCTATTGAGCACGACCACCTTGTAGACAACCTCCCATCCTACCGTCAATGGCCAATATCCTGCATTTTGCATAGTATTTCAGGAACAGGCCATAGTTTACTTGAGGCCATGCAGGATTTTGCCCAGACAGTTGCAAACCCTAGCTGTAGCCACACTCAAGACTCGCTGCCTCATCCTTGGCAGATTTTGGGGCATGTGGGGTATGATTTAATTTAAGGAATATTCCTTGGATCATTTTAGGGATCCTGTTACAATTTCAGGTATATTCGTTCATTAACGGATATTGGAGTTTCAGGGTAGACAGCATGCTTTAACCTTCTATCTGGGCCTTAGGGGTACTTGGGCTGCAGGATTTCGGAGGACCTCTTGCGGCCAGAAGCATCTTTGAAACTTCCGGTTTAGGGTTTACCTTAACCCTAAACAACCTACTGTTTTAGGGCTCCTTATTAGGATTTCCTTATATAAGTCCTGAAAAAGGTAGGCTATTCCGGGTTAAGGTAGGGCTGACACTACAGCAGCATCAGAACTCCAGCCAGACACTCCACTTCCCGGCGTTGGGACGTGAACTCTTACCACACACAAGTGAATTTAAAGCCCTGCACAAGCCCGGAACCCCGGAGCCCTTGCACCGCGCAACAGCTTGTACATGGTCTAAACGATCCTCGGAACCAAAAATTCATAATTAGAGACACCCGAAACTCCCCACCGCCATCAACCTCCTTGCATACGCCCAACGCCCAAGCCTGGGTGTTCTGGACCCAAATCCTACTAGCCCTCACAAGGCCAACCCCTGTCAACTGGACCCTAAACCCAAACCAAAACTATTTCAGACCCTACCTGAACTTCCCCAAACCCCAAAAACCCACCTTTTGCGGGAATCTTACGAGTATGAGGAAATCATTATAAGGAACCCTAAATCCATGTAAACCCAATGTTCGCCGGGTCGATTGTTGGCGTTGTCAGATACGGTCACCATTGCCGCTTATCGAAGCCGTCACCTGCTTTGCAAGAGGCTTAGGGTTTAGGGTTACGGGCGTAAGGTTTGGGGATTTAAGGCCAGGGCTTGGTAATTAAATTAGGGCCATTAGGGTTAGGCGTTCGGGTTTCTGTCGGTTGCACGTTGTCGCGAAGTAGGGCAGAAGCTGTAGCTCATTTTTGACATGCCCGCTAGAAATGATTATGGATGCTCGCAACCGCGCATTAGCAGAAGGAAACCCCTTATCTACCATCAGAAGGTCCAGCGAACATGAATCAAAGGGGAAAAGGAGGGACCCTTAACGGGGACCCCTACCCTATAATGCGCTATATACTAGGTATATATAGGTATATAATGGCTATATGGGTATATACCTAGGGGTCCTTATTAAGAGTCCCTCCTATTACCCTTGGACTGAAGGCAAACCATGCAAAAAAGGGTCCGCCCCAAAGAACCGCAGCCCTTCTGAAGAGAGCAGAGCCGGTAAGCACTGTTGTGCCACGGTTTAGGGTTTAGGGTTCAGGGTTTAGGGTTCAGGGTTCAGGGTTTAGGGTTTAGGGTTCAGGGTTTAGGGTTCAGGGTTCAGGGTTTAGGGTTTAGGGTTCAGGGTTTAGGGTTGGGTAATTCATTCAGGGGCCTTGAAAGGTAGGATGAAGCTAGGTGGGATAATAATCCCCAAATAAGAGTGTGAATATCAGGGCTCCTTCATCCTAGCTACCTTCGTCCCACCTTTTGAGGTCTCCAATTCATTATACATTGTGTTACAGCAACCCACGACCTTCCATAAATTATATCACTATTGGATGCTGTGCTGTTCTATTCTAACCGATTCGTTTCTGTGCTATTCTATGCTATGCTGTTCTATGTGTATGCATACACAGTAGCTGGGCCTCTTGGATTCGAACACCCCAAGGGTCCAAGTACTTAAAAATCATATACCCTCCGAAATCCTAACCTAAATAACTAGTATCCTAAAACCGAGTACCTAACCTAATTATTGGGTCGTTTGGACACTTGGGGACAAACCCTAAACCCGAAAACCCAAAGCCCTAAGCCCTGAACCCTACGTAAACGCTAGCCGAGGACGAACATCGCTGCACGCAGCTCTTCTACAACCTCGTGGCCAACGCGGTGAAGTTCACCCACGAAGGTCGGCTCTCTTGGGGCTTTTGGGGTTTAGGGTTTAGGGTTCGGGATTTCGGGGTTAGGGTTTAGGGTTCCGGATTTTGGGGTATAGGTTTCAGGGTTTAGGATTTTAGGCAGAGGCGAGGGTCTGCTACCCTACACCCATAGCCCTCAGGGGTTTTGGGGATTGGTATTCGGGTATAGATCCCAGGAAGGACCGGGACGGTGTGGGGCTTTAAGTGTATAGGGTTTAAGGCTTAAGGCTCCAATGCCCAGACCGCCAGCCCGAATTGGTATGCTACTGTTGCGATTTACAGGCTTGACTGCAAAAGGCCGGGAGATCAGCACCAGGATGTCGGGCTTGCGAGACGCATTGTCTTGGATTGCAGCATGTCTCGTCGTAGCAATCTTACACTTGAGATCTTATGCTGATTTCTTTGTGTGTGTGTGTGTGTCTGTGCTTGTCCTACATCACAACTGTCATGCCTTTCGGCATCAGTAGACTGTGAAATTGGGGTCTGAATAACAAGTAGCAGTAGTCCCGGTATAACTTTATAACTACACAGTTATGCTAGGACCAGACCCCCAAAGCCCTGTTCTGAGTATGTTGGCCTGTTGGCCCTTGTTTTATGGAACCCTTGCCATCAGACACCTTGTAGACACCCTCTGAACACCCCTTACCGAAATCCTTTCAAGAACCCTTACCGAAACCCCAAAGAGAAACCTTGCAACTTGAACAGCCCCATGTGGTAGCTCACTCTCGACTTCTGCTTTCCTCACATGATGTGAACAATGAACGAACATGCGTAAGTTCTGGCTTCAGTTAAGCGGTTGGGGCTGGTTTCGGGTATAGGGTGGCAAGACCACGACGGTGAATCACGTATGGTGAAGAATGGGCATGTGTAAGTTCTGGCTTCGTTTCTTGGACTTCGAATTCAAAGTTTGGGTTGCGTGACCGCGACAATGAAACAGGCTAGCAGAGCAAGGCCTGTGACCGCATCCCTTTGCCAGGAACGGTCGAGTCTTCTGCGAGCTATGACGATTCCGAGGAGAAATTGGTTGTCCGAATCAAAGACACGGGTGCCTTGCATTGCGAAATGAGTAATATAGGGGCCTTAATAACTAGAACAGGTTCTTGGGGTATATTATAGTATAAACTGTGATAAGGGAACCTCAAAATGGTATTAGTAAGTATTTAGGCCCCTATATGAAGTAGGGGATGCAGCTTCGTTTGTCGATCCACGCGGGAACTTTGAAGCTGCTGACAGGAGTTCAGGCGAGGGATGTTCCTAGGATCTTCCAAAGCATATCATCGTCCCCACCAGCAACTTGATCATCGCTATCGTCATCATCATCACCGTCACCATAGTCTTCGCGAAAAACACCACCACCAGACCCCTGCTGAGCAGCATAACTGCTCTATCACATCATGGTCTTGCTTGTGGTCACGACGACGCCGGCGGCGGTGATGGTTGTTGTGCTTGTGATGGTCAATGTGGCTGTCGCGTTTATTGCTGCGGCGGATCTTGTTACTGCTGTACTCATTAACATGATGCAGCAGACACAGGCTGCGTCGACGGTGGGATTAATGACGGTTATTGCTTATGTTGTTGTTTTCCTTGAATCGAAGCTGCTAAGCTGCTAGGTAAGGCTTTTCATCGTGGTGTCATAGCGGTCTCAGCACGAAGCTGGTTATGATTGACAGTTGTGCAACAGCGAAAGTAAGGCTCCAAACACATGACCTGCATGTGGTTGCCACTACGGTCAGACATGTTAATGCTTCGCGATATACGGTATTATGCGGCTGTAACGGCGCACTGGCTATAGAATGGCTGGTTGTGTTGTAGAAGTTGTGGTTGGTGCTTGTGGGGTTGTTGCTTCCTGCTGGCGCCGCTAGAGCTGCGTCTGCAGCTACTACCTCGACACCTTAGACTAGTAACTTCAACAGTGCAGAATTGTGATCTCGAAGAGAATGTTTGACCTTGCGGACAACTCTCTACCTTTACTGAGTCGTGGTCGAGAAAGACTGGCTCTTCTCAGGTGACTGCGACAAACGGGTTCACGCATTACCGCACCAAGAACACCCCAAAACCCATTATCGTCAGGATTTGTCTAGTCCACGGGCCTGTAGGGACACGATTTTCCCCTTCTGTACAGCTCACGTTGCAGGCGCCCTGTTGCATAAACCTACTTGGAGGGCAGGGGCCTTAGTAAGTAGGTTGTAAGTAGGGTTTAGTTGGATAACTCCTTTTAGGGTACTTATAACTCTATACTCCTATAACCTACTTACTAAGTCCCCTGCCCCTCCAAGTAATCCAGGTATCGGCATCGCTGCAGCGAACATCGAGCGCATCTTTGAACCTTTTGACCAGGAGGACATCTCTGAGAGTCGGAGGCCAGCTGGCTTCTGGGTTGTCCTTTTGGGATCTTTTTTTAATTTCCCCTACTATTTCGTAGAGAACCATAATAGTAAATAATTTTCAAAGGGCTTAACGGACAACTCAGGCTTTGAATCATGGGGTTTAAGGTTTATGCGCTTCAGGGGATACGATGGTTTGAGGCTCAGGATTTCGGTTGTTGGGGCTTCTGGCCGTGTGGCGGTGGTATCACAATGTAAACCCTACACCCTAAACCCGACTCGTCGCAGCAGCCGACCCGGGGTTGAGGGTTCATAATATAGAAGCCTAAATAATTACCAAGATTATTCCCTTAGGGTTCCTTCTTGCAATTATAGTCTACGGGGCCCCAAAACCCTATTGTAATTATTAAGGCCGCTACTTTAGGGCTGATAGGGGTTGGTTTTCTCAACAATGGGTCCGCAGTGTTTAGGGTTTAAGTTTTTTGACAATGGGTTTTGGGGTTTAGGTTTCTTTACATCGAACTTGCGGCGCTTTGGGTTTGAAGTTTAGGTTTCCTAGGAAGGGGATCACAGGGTTAGGTTTCAGGCTTCTTGACAGTGGGTTTACTGGGCTTAGACAAACGGCTTGTCGCCAAAACTTGCAAGATTCAATCATCTACTGCCTGGGGTGCTTGATGCTGCTGCTTGGGGTGTAGAGGCTTCTGTGAGGCCACTAATGGGTTTAGGGTTTAGGGTGGAATGACAGTCGCAAGGCCGTAAGTATAAGTATGAGCTATCACGTGTTAGCCAGTCGGCGATCATGCCCTGAATTGGTTAATTGGTTGTCCGTTGAGACTGGCAACAACAACAGAAGCAACAGCGGCAGCAGCAGCAGCAGCAGCTGCGGCTACTCTATTACTTCGGCAGCAGCAGCAGCTGCGGCTACTCTGTTGCTCCGCCTCCTGCGCCTGCTCCTACTACTACTACTACTACTACTACTACTACTACTACTACTACTACTACTACTACTACTTCTCCTGCTGCTGCTGCTACTACTGCTACTACTGCTGCTACTACTACTTCCTACTACCACTAGTACTACTACTACTACTACTACTACTACTACTACTACTACTACTACTACTACTACTACTACTACTACTACTACTACTACTACTACTACTACTACTACTACTACTACTACTACTACTACTACTACTACTACTACTACTACTACTACTACTACTACTACTACTACTACTACTACTACTACTACTACTACTACTACTACTACTACTACTACTACTACTACTACTACTACTACTACTACTACTACTACTACTACTACTACTGCGGCTGCTACTGCTACGGCTACTGCTACTACTCCTCCTACTCCTCCTACTCCTACTCCTACCTACTCCCACTCCTCCTCCTCCTCCTCCTCCTACTACTACTACTACTACTACTGCTACTGCGACGACTACTGCTACTGCTGCTACTACTACGACTACTACGACTACTATTATTACTACTGCTATTACTCCTACTACTACTACTACTACTACTACTACTACTACTACTACTACTACTACTACTACTACTACTACTACTACTACTACTATTGCTGCTACCACCACAGCTACTACGACGACAGCTGCTACTTTACTGCTGACTGCTACCTACTACTATTTCTCCTGCCACCACCACCACGACGACCGCTACTACGCGCAACTTCATCATCAACAGACAGTGGCCGAGACTTGAACGACCATCAGAATGACCAAGAGACAGATGAATGACGAAGAGGACGAGGAAAACACTACGACGACAAAGATGACATTCCCAACAGCAGGCAGACCCTGACGGCTGAGACCGAGTACGGTCGTTATGGCTTATTGCTACACTGTCTTCCCTAAACCCAAAACGTCCCTACACCCTAAACCCTTCCAGTGCTGCCAGATACTCCGGACTTGGGCTGGGTTTGGCCATCAGCCGCGAAATCGCCCGGAAGCACGGGGGCGACATCACAGTGACAGAGCCGAATCAGAGTCTATAGAGCGCTGTGTTTAGTTGGGGTTGTTTGGGGGAGTTCGGGGTTTCGGTGTTTGGGGTTTACGGGTTTATTCGTGTTTGAGGCTCTAGCGGGGGATATACTGTAAATTTCATGATTCCTTGATGTTGCCTGCATTGCTTTCCTTCGGCTGAGGCAAATGGGCAAAGGCAAACTGAAATGATCCCTTCGCTACGGCTACGATCAGCCATACTCTCGGCCCGTCTTATAAACGCCGCGTGTTTAGCGTTGATGTTCGTCTTGCTTGAAGCACCGCTCCAACTGTGCGAAGCATACCTAAACGACCTGCTGCAATACCACAAACAGCATCCCCGGCTGTGGCTCCACTAGCGGAATGCTGATTCGTGAATCTGGGCACCCGAACACAGTGCTGTATTGCCCTAGATCGAGAAGCCCCGGACAACCTGGAACACCCGATCCTCAACCCCCCTAAACACTAAAACCTAAACCCCTTCAGGTGGACAAGAGCCCTCAAAAACAAAAACTAAACCCCGAACTCTCAACCCTAAACCTAACTTCCAGACGACCCGAAGCTGGAGGTGGAGTCCGTACAAGGGCACGGGTCGACGTTTATCGTGACCTTGCCGTGACTCGTCGAGGCTCTAGGTTGGTTTTTAGAATATAGTAGGACTACAGTTTTGGGGTTCAGGGTTTTGGGAGCTGGTGGGATTCTGCCCCAGCCGTTTTCTGATTCTTACGGCGGCACTTTATTAGCTATTCCTGAGGGTTCCTTATGCAATACAACCAACAGCCCCATACATATATATATATATATATATATATATACATATGGTACCCCCCCCCCCCCAGTTACCAATACATTCCTGTGTTTTCCTTCTGCAGGCAGCACCATGAAACAAAAACAGAGCATTCGAGCACCCTCTTGGCTGAGACTTGTGACAAGACTCTCCATGAACGTTTTGTGGCCTTAGAGGGCGCTTGCACCACTTTGAGTATAGCAGCAGGATGCTCAGCACTTGAGTACTCGCTCTGCATCACACTTCTCCGCAAACTAGAAAAAGCGCTGTACTGTCCCAAAAAAACCAATCTTTTTTTGCAAAAGTGCTGTACTGTCCCAAAAAAACCAAAAAAAAACAATATTCTACAGTCTTGGAGCAGCTGCCGTGTAGCGGCCTCCAATAGATTGGTTTTTTTTGGGACAGTACAGCACTTTTGCAAAAAAGGATTGGTTTTCTTGGGACAGCACAGCACTTTTGCAAGAAAAGCAACAAAAAACACTGTACTGTCCCAAAAAAACCAATCCTTTTTTGCAAAAGTGCTGTACTGTCCCAAAAAAACCAAGAAAACCAATCTTCTACAGTCTTGGAGCAGCTGCCGTGTAGCGGCCTCCAATAGATTTGTTTTTTTTTGGGACAGTACAGCACTTTTGCAAAAAAGGATTGGTTTTTTTGGGACAGTACAGTGTTTTTTGCTGCTTTTCTTGCAAAAGTGCTGTGCTGTCCCAAAAAAACCAATCCTTTTTTGCAAAAGTGCTGTACTGTCCCAAAAAAAACCAATCTATTGGAGGCCCCTACACGGCAGCTGCTCCAAGACTGTAGAAGATTGTTTTTTTTTGGTTTTTTTGGGACAGTACAGCACTTTTGCAAAAAAGGACTGATTTTTTTGGGACAGTACAGCACTTTTACAATAAAATTAACGAAACCACCTTACTGTCTCAATCAAACGATCTTTTGGAAGGTTTCCGTCACGCGCGCGGAGATTTTCTTCTCGCGCTCTGTTAGCTTTGACTTACAGCAGATTTTTGTTTTGCCGTCAACTTGAGATCTGGTTTCATTGTAAATTATTCTACAGTGAACTCCAGAAAGTTGAAACATCAGTATCCTAATGCCCTTATACTAAAGGCAATGTAAATCAAACACTAATCACCCTAAATCAATGTTCCAACTTTCTGGGGTTCACTATGATTAGTTAATGTACCCTTATTTTTGATGTGTTTGTTGGAGATGGTAGAAGGGTGTGTTTTGTTTCTGGTTGCCAGTCTCACTGACGTTTTATGTTTAGGGTGATGAGTGTGATATTTGATTACTTCAGTGAGCACTGTTTACGTGTGTTAGGTAAATGAGATAGATTGATGTAAGTGAATGATATGTTAATACTGTGTCCTTAATTACATCTAAACCCATAATTATGGGTAGCTTTTTGATTTATGATAGGATGGAAAAGCTTGCTTAAGGCATTGTGGCAGGAATATGATGATTAGCATAAGGGTATGGCGGGATTGACTAGTAGTGGTAGTAGTCGTAGTAGTAGTAGCAGTTGTAGTAGTAGTGATAGTAGTGATAGTAGTAGTAGTAGTAGGAGTAGCAGTAGTAGTAGTAATTAGTAGCAGCAGTAGGAGTAGTAGTAGTAGTAGTATCAGTAGTAGATTGTAGTCGTAGTACGGTTCTTGTGATGGTTTGTTATGACCATCTTGATAATAGTTGGATATGTGACAGGATTTAACTTAATATCATGATACGAAATTTAGGAGCAATATGGTGAGAAGACATGGTCTAGGAAAAGGTCGCCTGGATACATTTGGGGCAAGATGTGGAATGACGCTGAAACACATAGACCTAACTAAACATGTAGTAATGTGGTAGTAGCAGTAATAGCAGCAGCAGCACGAGGAGGAGTGGTAGTGGTAGTTGTTGGTGTTAGGGTTGTACTATTATTAGCGTGTGATAAGGAAGGATGGGTGATAGATTAGAGGCACGTCTAAGTAATACAGAGGGTGCCATTAAACCGTTACTACCTATCATGTGCTGAAGCATCCTGTATGTGTATGGCATCAATGTAGTCAGGCTTGCCTGGCCCTGTATTAAGCGCCTCCTGGATGCATGCGTCTTGAATTGCGGGATCTAGGGGATGAACAAAATCACCTTCTGGTCGTGCACTAGAAGTATCTGAGACCTTCGAGTGTCTTGGTGTCATGAATTGCAGGGTTTAGAGCACAAAACACACAATTCTATTGGTATCTGGGGGGGGGGTAGCATATATATATATATATATATATATATATATGGGGGTTGGTTCTTTTGGGGTCGAGGGTTTCGGGTTCAGCCTTGTACCGGGACCAGTATTACAATTTCAGAACTGCTCGTGGAAAGTCTTTGTGTGAGTTGAGGTACAGGCTGGCGTCTTGGCCAGACTTGGAGGACGTTTCCGCTGGAATGCCAAGACTGGCATCAGTTCAGGATGCGGTTGGGGACAGTGCAGCAGAGAAGGATGCTCGGCCGGAATGAGACTTCGAGGTTCAGGGTTTACGCTCGCTCCTCAGTGCTTTTAGGAGGTTCGGGGTCTGAGATGTTAGGCACAACTGTAACTGTATTATTTCTCGGCACCGACGATGGCCACCATGCGACATGTGAAACCTTGCAGAACCCGATACCGTAACAGCAAGAAGCACAAAAAGTCCGAGCCCCGAGCCCCGAAACCGTGCTTTTGCACCCTGAACCCTGTATGCTTACCCTGAACCCTTAGAAACCCTTCTCCCTCTACCAGTGAATCTGGGGCCTTTAGAGGCCTTCCGGAAGATCAGTCTTGGGATACAAGCTCGCGAAACTCTCACCCATTGTACCCGAAATCCTCAGTCTGATAGAAGGGCCTTGTCAAGAGGAATAGGGTTATGTGGCAAGATTCGGTATGTATAAGCATCCGTATCTGTATATGTAGAGGTATATATCTATGTAGGTATATATGTATATTATATATATATATATGTATGTATATATACATATAGAACCTTTATATGTGTCTTTATATTTCTATTTCCCCAACCAGTGTGGTAACACGATGGGGTTCTTGCACTCAGAGTAAAGTGGATGCGCCGAAAGAAAGGCTTCCCCAGCAAATTCTGCAAATCTGGTCCCCACGTGCTATTTCTTGCACAGCATGTTTGCGGTGCGCGTCTCAGGCTGTGAACCACTTGCTACTGCAGAAACCTAAACAATTAACAATGTTGTTGCTTAACGTTTCGTACTATATTCATACGATGAAAGAACCCCAAACCCTACTCTAATTATTAAGGCCCCTACAGTACTCGGAGGAAGGCATTCCGGGGTGTGGCTCCTGATCCGCCCTCGTGGTCTCCCGGTCATGTCCTGGCAGTGTGGTCTTCTGATGATCACCTGCTTGGTGGTGTCCTGGTGGTCTGCTGCTAAACGGTAGGATCCCATTATTATAAGGATCCCAAATTAAGGTAAATTAATAGGATCCTATTATAAGGATCTTAAATTAAGGTAAATTAATAGGACCTTAGTAGGATCCTAGTATAAGGATCCTAAATTAAGGTACCCCGAATTTTTCGGTGCTCTCTCGGTGTCGTGCTGGTCTGTTGGTCCTCTCCTGGTGTCTTCTGGTGGACAGGAAGGTCCCTTTGTCCCGAAGACTGGGGGGTCCACAAGGAACCCGCAGAAAAGCATGACCCCCCACCAGCAAACACGAAGCACTTAGGTCATAGCCTTTAGTGTTGAGCAATGCCGCTTTTCTGCTCTCCCAGTGCACCTAAAAACCATCCAGCCATTTCTGCCAAGAAAGTTGAACCTTCTCAGAACGGGTTACTGTAGACCATGTAGACCATGGACGTCATCATGCTTGGGCCACAGATGCTCTCTTCCCGGAGCGGATTACACCATGGTTGGGCCGTGGATGCTTTCTTCTAGCTATGATGAAGAACGTCTTACTTCAGGGTCGGGAAGAAGCGGATGCACGCAAAAAGGGCCTTAGTTTCGCACACGTGCCGGAAGAAACCCCAAAGGAGCTTTTAACATAGAGTTGCAGAGATAAGGTCATGGCCGGAAGCAAGGAATTCGTGGTATTTTGCGGTGGATTTTGAATCAGGTAAAGCATAACTGTGCAAAAGGATTGGTTCCTTATGGCCCCTCCTAGCCCTACTTGGAGGTTCATGGGACTAAGTAAGTACGGTTATAAGTACCTTAATTGGGGTTTTAAGTAACTATACGTATAGTTACCTGAATAATAGCCCCAGTTACTAAGTCCCATGATCCGTTAAGTAAGCCCTTCACCCAAAGCCCGAAGCTGCAGAAGGAGGTCAAGCTGGTCTTGAAGCCCATGCCAGCTAAACGGCTCTACACGGGCGGTCAGTCACCGGACTTCCATGTCAGTGCTTTCAGGGCTTTAGAGTTCAGGTTTTTACGGCTTTTGTTACGGCTTTGGGGTTTAGGGCTTGGGGTGTAAATTAGGGGTTTAGAGGTGATTTGTTTTGTTTGAGTTGAGGCTTTCGGCAACATTGTACCATTGGAGTCCTGCAGGGTTTTGAATTGGGATGAGATGCAGCTTTCGGCTGTGCCTGTTTCGGGGCTCAGGGGCTTCTTAAGTTATGGATCATGGGACTTACTTAGTAGTAGGTAAGGTTGCTGTTGGGGTAGCTATACTTATGAACTGCTTATAGCACTCATAACCATACTTACTAAGTCCCATGACCCTCTGGGGCGGAGCCCGGCACTTTCGGTATTGAGGGTTTGCTGTGGTGGCACCCAGAGACTCCAAAACCCTTAATTAAGGAATGTATCCTAAATGGGTAAGATTTAGCGGATAGTCTCTTGGCACTGCCTCCAATTGAGTACTGTGGAATGTGTGAGGACCGAGAATGTCCAAAGGTGTCGGAGAGAGGTGGCTGGTAATTTGCAATTGACAGCCTGACCCAGGGCATGCTCTCGGGCTGTCCGACCTGGTATCAACCCGGCCCACAAGCCACAGAGATCGCTTCATCATGATAAGGATGGAATCCTGGGGTTAGATTCAGTCGCCGGGCAATAGTAGGTAGGTAGGAGTGATAAGCGGTGGAACATGCAAGACCGAGGTATTACTTCTGAATCCGGTGGGCTTTACAGTTGGGGCATACTCATGTTTCAAGCTCACGGCTTCTACTGTAATTCCGTCAAGAAAGTCCTAGCAGAGCAGGGAGCGGCCCAGGTTTCTCGGCGTCCACACTTTGCGCCAGAAAAGCAAAGAAAAGCAAACGATCGAAGCTGAGGCGCAGTTCTTACTTCGACTAGGATGCCCAGTAGTATCCTTATTCCCTTTTTGTAGTCCTATAGATTCCTTATAAAGTTGCCCAATACCAAAAAGAGAGGCCTTTTTATTCTTAGGTTACTGGGTATCCTAGTCGAGGGTTGAGAGTGGTTCACCGGGCGAAAGCTCAGAGGCGTAGAGTAAAAACTAGGGGGCTTAGCGCGTAAAGAGTGGGATGGTGACTCTTAGGAGTTTGGGGGTGAGAGATACCGGGTGTTATACTTCTTCTGTGGATCAATCTCTAACGTGCGTGCTTATGAACTTTCATTAGGCGGCTTGATTCGCACAGAGCAACAGGCATATTTGGGAGTTTCGAAGAAGACTTCAATGACCCTGATACCAAGATGCTCGGATCTTGATTACAAGTATGACCAAACAAGTATGACCAAACCCTGACATTCAAACCCAAAGAGCGCCTCGAAAGGGACCCGAAGTTGGCTGAAACTTTCTGCCAAGCTGGAACACGCCTGAGACAGGTAGAGTTTCGGTCTTCGGATTCGTTGGCGTCTTCTTCAGGGGTTTAGCTGAGCGGAGGGCGTAGGTTGGGTGTTCACGGATTTTGAAGATGTGATACGGTGCCTGTCATCCAGACGAGGAACTTAGGGGCACTTAGAAATAATTCTTAACTTTTGGTTATTATAATCCCTAAGAAACAGCTAAAATTATAATTTTTGCCAGGGTTCCAAGTTTACTATAGGGAAGTCGTGGCACGACACATCGAAGCCAAGGCCGGGAGCACATCAGCTAAGGACATGCCCAGAGAGCCCAATACCCCTTAATTAAGGAATATGGCTTAAATTATATAGGGCTTCATATTATGATTTAAGCTATATTCCTTAATTCAGGAGTATTGGGCTCTCTGGGTGTTGTGGACAGCTTAAAGATACACTGACAAGGCGGCAAGTTCGGCTGAAGGAATTCGTCCAGAAGCCCATAAAGATTATATCCGCACCCAAGAAAAGAAATCCCCAAAAGCCTGTAACCCTTAACCCTAAGCCTAAACCCTTAGTCCCTACACAAGTTGCAGCTATGTGCATTGCTGGCCTGCTGTTTGAAGGGTCCAGAGTATGAGCTTCTAGCTCCCACGGTCCCGATACTTTTCTCAAAGCTACTTGAATCAGGCTAAAGTGGGACACTATGAACCCTTTCCTTAAAACTCTTTGCAAACCACATCTTTGCACAGCTGTGAGCTTCAGTCAGCGATCAGAGAAGTGAGCATGCAGAAGAACAGTAACATCAGTAAACAAAAGCACTACTGCTATTATGGTTAGGTGGGATGTGGGAGTTTCCGAAAATAAGGGACCCCACTATAGTACCCTACATAGTAGGATCCTTGTTATAAGGACCCCCAAACAAGGTACCCCCATACTCGGAAACGCCCATGTACCTTCTCAGAGTTTTTGTTGAGTCGATTTTTGGAGGATCCCCGAGAGGAGCCAGAAGATCCTTCGGATGTGTCCTGGCTGGAGAGTAAGTAGTGTTCACGATGCAGATAAAGAAGAAGAATAAAGTCGTAGTAATAATAATAGTAGTAATAATAGTAGTAATAATAATATTAGGAAGAAGCAAGGAGAATAATAATAGTAATATGATGATGAGGATGATGGCGATGAGGAATTATGATGATGGTGATGACGATGATGATGGTGTTGTTGATGCTGGAGATTTTGATGTTGATGACTTTCATGACTTCTGATGATGATGGCTGACAAGAAGAGGAGAACTACAATGACCCCCATGCTGATCACGATGGTGGTGACGGCGGTGGCTGTGAGGATGATGACACCCAAGGTCCCGGTCATGACCTCGGAAGCCTCTACGGATGCCGCTTCCGTGCTGCTGCTTGGCCACAGATTGCAGACTTCGGGTTCGCAGCTCCGTGCCGTAGTCATGCGTATCATCCCCTTTGCCGTCCCTAAAGAAGGATCCTACTATTTATAAGGTATGATATTAGGGTCCCCTATTTTCGGAAACTCCCATATAAGTGTCGGTATAAACCCAAGCAGCCCGACAGCCAACTAGTATTGCTCAGGCGCCTACAATGGTCCTCTCTGAGCCATTTGCCGATAAAGGTCACGATTTTGGGGTTTAGGGGCTTAGGGGTTTAGGGTTTAGGGTTTTTGCCTTTGCAAATCCAGCTACGGTACCAACATCCTCCGGAGTCTATCCTTCACACTGCTAAGTAAGTGCCTTGGTCGAAACCCAAAGGGTCCAAGCACCCAATAATCATATACTATCCGAAATCCTAACCTACAGAACTACCCAGAGGCCCCAAAGTATTTCTTTTTTGGGATTACGCTATAGGATTCTATATGCGAACCCCATAAAGGAACTACTTTGGGGCGGCCTTTGGGTACTATCCTAAAACCGAGTACCTTCTTATTGGATCCTTTGGACCCTTGGTCGAAAGCCTTGGCGCTCATGCATGGTCCTTGGCATGGCTTGAAGCCCACTGATGGTCCTTCTATTGTTGATGATATAAATCCTGCATCAGCTTCGGGACCCTAAACTATGGGAAGTATGGTATATTCCCTCTTATGGGTAGTGCAGGATTTATATCAACCCTAAACCCTAAACCCTGTAGATCCCTTAAAGGAACCCCTTAAAGGTACCCTGAATAGAGCCCTTTAAAGGGACCCCAGGATTGTTTATCATCAACCGCAGTACCAGTGGAATCCTTGCCTTCTCTGTCCTGGCCGAGGGCATCGACAGCCCTGCAGATACAGAAGTATCACGAGGAAACCGTGGTTTGGGGGGTTTAGGGTTTCTGAGCTTGGGAGGTTAGGCATTCTTGAGTTCCAGGGGTTTGCTGTTGCGGACGATGAAACGGCAGATGCATAGAACTGCAATACGCTCATGGTGTTTCTCCGATAGCAGCCAGGAAACAACCTTAAAATCCTACGTCATCATGCGCAGTACAGGGCTTTAGGGTCAAAGGGTGTAGGGTTAGGGGTTTTCGTGTGGAATTAAAGGAGTTTGGATGTTTTTCTTACGGCTTAGGGTAAGAAGTCGGACATGTAGGGATCAAAGTCCAAAGTAGCCCGACAGCTTAGGGTAAAACTAGGACCTGGAGTAGGTAGGCCCTTATTCCCTTTTTGTAGGGTTCAGGTTCACTTGTAAGCCCTTTTAAACCAGAAAGGAGACCCTTTTTCTCCTAGGTTACTCTTGGTTCTAAAGGGCTTAGGCTATAGGGGTTTAGGGTTTAGGGTTAACAGCCTGCGAAGAATCAGGAGTGCTATGCCCCAGGGCTACCGATTATGAGCTTTGGTAGTATGATGTACCCTATAGGCCTGTTCAAGTTAATCCGACCCCTATACTGGGGGCCTACACTAGAACCCCTACAGAAACAATAGCGGAACTCGTCTTGCAAACTCTTCCGCCATCCCCTTGTCCCTGGAGGAGATAGGAGTGGCTAGGGCCCAGGCGGTTGAGCTGGAGAAGCGAAGCATGTCTGCAAGTTGAGGGGTTAAGGATTTCGGAAAGTTGTTCGGCGCCCTCCTCTTCTGCCCTATGTGTCGCTGATATTCCTGACTCCTTTCCGTGCTATTGCTATGTATGTTTACTGGAAAGAGAGAGAGAGAGAGAGAGAGAGAGAGAGAGAGAGAGAGAGAGAGAGAGAGAGAGAGAGAGAGAGAGAGAGAGAGAGAGAGAGAGAGAGAGAGAGAGAGAGAGCGAGAGAGAGAGAGAGAGAGAGAGAGAGAGAAAGACAGAGAGAGAGAGAGAGAGAAAGACAGAGAGAGAGAGAGAGATCAGAGAGAGAGAGAGGGAGACTCTGCCTTCTGTATGTATCAGTCGCTGCTTCAGAAAAGTTGGGCTTGGAGGTTTCCAGTAGGGGCTTAGGATTCAACCGAGCTCGGCTTTGAGACTTCTGGGGGCAGGGTATAGAGTATAGACTCTTGCGCTTAGTCTTGTTGTGTAGGAGCTTTAAGGACGAAATGAACCGTAAAAGGCTTTAAGGTTCATATAATATTATAGGGATTCATAGTATATGGGTATAGGGCCCCCACTTTTAAGGGTCATTTGGTCCTTCAGGAGCTAGAAGGTTTAGGGTTTACCTGGACTCCCCATGACCAACCTGCTTAAGAACCATAAAAAAAGGAAATCATAGTAGAGAACCTGAAAAAAGGGGCACCCCGTCTTGAAGGTGTACACAGAGAATCCCCAGACAAAATTCCATGGGTACAAATCGCTTTTACAAGGTTAGTACTTCCTTGCATGGTCCCAGTTGATAGCCATTTGAAGCGGAGGGCTTTGCATTCCCCAAGTGGGCATATTGCTCGCCGCATCATGAGGCGTGGAGGATCTCAAACAGCGAGTCGCCCAGAAACATGATGCGTCGGAGCAGTTCCAGCAGCAGCGCCCCGGCAATCCACATTTATGACTTTGATCTGAGGTTTCGGAGGATGTGCCTGCAGGATCGGCGGTTCTTCAATTTACATTCGGGCACATACAGAGAAGGTGATAAACAAAAAGAACCGTTGAGGCAGACCCTAAACTCCAAACCTTCAACAACAGCAGCATGGTTGCTCGAATCGTTGTTGTTTCTCTGACCTGCACACCACCCACGTCGAAGAAGGCAACGCCAGCCGTTCCTGCGAGCATGTAATTTGTAATATACGCGTCTGAATAAGTAGTTACTATACGTACCCCATTGTAGTTCATAATTAAGTCAAGTTTAATGGTATTGGGCTTTGATAACTGCTACAGGGTTTTGGGATGTGACATTATTTACGATGAAATGGCAGAGACTACATGGACGTACGAATAATGGATCTTCAGATGCTGCATTGTGCAAGGTTGCAAGGGCTTTGGTAGGAGGCAGGTGCGGCGCAGACACTCGACCAGTTTGCGTGCAAACAGATCATCACTAGTCGCGAGCAGTTCTCTCGTGGACTCTTTTAGCACCTGTATACGAATAACCATAACAATGATAATAGCAACAACAATAAAAAACAACAATAAGTGCGATTATGACGGTAGCAATAGCAGTAACAACAGTAGGAACGCTAGCAATACTTGCAGTAACAACAACTGTGTAGTAGACCTTCACAGTGTAGCGGTCTCCGAGTAGGAAGACTTGGAAAGCCCCCCCCCCCCCAGCTGCAAGCCTCTAGGGCCCTACACCCTTCCGTGGCCAGTTTGGGTCTTTAGGTTTTGGGTTTTAAGTTTAGGGCCTAGGGTTTAGGCTCTTGGGCCTTTAAGGTTTATAGGGTTTAATGATCACCGCAACACTTACCACTTGACATGCAATGCCAACGTCTCTCATCCCGCCTAGGCTTGAGACTGATCAGTGGAGCAGCTTTAGCATGCGATGGTGTAACAATAAGCCAGCGTGGCCATGCTCAGCAACCTACCTTAAGGACGAAATGAACCCTAAATGGGTTTAAGGTTCATATACCATATAGGGATTCATAGTACATGGGTATAGGGCCCCCACTTTTAAGGGTCATTTGGTCCTTCAGGTAGGCCCTAAACTGCAAGACCCTAAACCCTAAACAACATCCCACCATGGCAATCTGCAGGGCGGCGTGCGTTAAACAGCGAGTGCTGGTGCAGCGAGAGCTTTGCAAAGAGCAATCTCAGCTTTGCCAGCGAATCCAATATCTGCAGAAGGCTCAAGGGCGGGAAATTTCGAGGTCGTTTAGGCATTCTGGGGGGTTTCGGGCTGTACGCCTATACTACAGTTACAGGGCCTATAGGGCTTTAGGATTTGGGATGTGCAAATACCACACACAATATTGCGCCTTGTCGGTGAGATTACGCGGAGCCCTAGACCCTTAACCCTATGCTTCTGAGTGCCCACGACTTTCTGCGAGAAAATTCAGAGCACCTCTGGCAGGCATGCATGATGAGAAGCGGGCACCAATCTTCACAAAAGCCAAAGCCGTGAGAGGCCTTAGTCCGGAATCAACCCGAGAAGCTTTCAAGCCGTCCCGCGTCACAGAACCATAAAATCGTAACGACCGGCGCCTTGTTCCGCATTCTCAGTCCCCCCCCACTGCCACCCGAAATCCCCGACGCCGAAGCCCACTGCAAAACGGCGCCCTTCCACAGCGGGTCGACCCCGATTCCAAGCAGAAATAAACCATCCAAGCTGTAAATCCCTAGGATATGGATATCGTGTTCGTCGTCATCGTCATCACCATCATCATACCTTAAGGACGAAATGAACCCTAAAAGGCTTTAAGGTTCATATACCATATAGGGATTCATAGTATATGGGTATAGGGCCCCCACTTTTAAGGGTCATTTGGTCCTTCAGGTAAGCCTCATCACCATCACCATCACCGTCACCAATGCCGGCGAGTCGATTCCCCTAATATACTACGTAGGACCCAGAGTAGGCCCTTGTTCCCTTTTTTAGGGTTTAGGTTCTCTTATCAGCCCCTTTAACCCAAAAAGGGCAACCTTTTTATTCCTAGGTTACTCTTGGGTCTAGTATAGGAGCCTAAATCATTACCCATACTATTCTTGGGGTGCCTTATTATAGCAATACCGCAGTATACCCCCAAACCCTACTCTAATTATTACGGCCCCTATATTACAGCTTTGGTCTCAGGCCACAGAGATGCAGGCGAACCTGCTCTTCAGCCAGCAGATCAAGGATGTCTACGCGTTCAGTACCTAGGTGGCACTCTGGGAAACTTGTTAATTTCCCTTGCAGTTCCTATAGAGGTACCTATTCATGCATATTTTAAGGGCCCCGAAACTACAACGCAGGTACTGTGGATCTCAAAGATCCCAAGATTGCTGAAGTGGAAAATACGGCCCTTGAGGCTGTGAAAGAGGCAGAAGCTGACAGCAAGAGTCTCGACTGCATGGCGCGCCGTTTACACGTCAGACATACACCCGAGCCCGTGGCCCTCAAAAACTTTTGTAGCTTTGTCGGGCCAGGTTTCAGAGTAGAGTCACTGTTGGGCATGACAAGATCCGCACGGTCATGCAGGCAAGAGGGGCGTGCAAACCTGAGGGAGAGGCCTGCATTTTCCACACATGGTGAAGCCTCGAAAGCCCCAGTTTGAACTCTAACTTCTGACAACCTTGCATGGCGAGTGTATGTAGGAACATGATCGTGCACACATGCAATGTTATCCTTCTGTTTGCTTCAAGGGCTTTCCACTTCAAGCGATGGCCATAACCCTAAACCCCTAACACCTAAACCCTAAACCTCTTAACCCTAAGCTAGCCCTTAATCTATCAATCCCTAACAGCCGACACCTCTAAACCATCCTAAGCCCCTAAACCCTAACCCTCTAAACCGTGAACCCCTACTTGGAGGATCATGGGAGTTAGTAACTATGGTTATAGGTCCCTTAATTGGGGTTATAGGTAATTATAAGCATAGTTACCTTAATTATAACCCTAGTTACTAAGTCCCATGATCCTTTAAGTAGACCTATAATAGAAGCCCTATAGATCCCTTTTAAGGACCCCTTTAAAATAACCCTAGTTACTAAGTCCCATGATCCTTTAAGTAGGGTGTACGGTGTGGTTTCCAGTTTGGAGCCCTTGAAGGTCCCATTCCCAGAGACTCCAAAACCCCGTTAATTAAGGAATATACCTAAAAGTATAGTAGGAGCCCTAATATGATCTAAGTATAGCCAGGAAGCCACTACAGCGACTGACGGAGATTGCCCAGACCCTGGAGGGGCCGGAGCGAGCCGAGCTCTCCGTCTCGAAGAGTTGTGAGCTACTATTTGCTTAAGAACCCCAAAAACATAAAAAAAATATTCCTTATGGGGGGTAATATAGGAATTATTATTGTTATTTTTGGTTTTTCGGAACTTCTTACAGATGTGACGGAGATTCCGCAAGGTTCTTGGTCGGAGCCCTACTAGTAGTGCATGGCGATGGCTGTCAAGACTTGCATGCCCCACCTTCTGCAGGAGGGGTTTAGGGTTCAGGGTTGAGGGTTTAGGGTTAAGGGTTTAGGGGTTTGGGGTTTTCAGTGGTTTAGGCTTAATGGTTTAGGGTTCGGGGGGGCTTTTGAGAGTCTAAGGGTTTACAGTGCATACTACTCGTTTCGTAATGTGCTATCATGAACACAGCATTGTATAGTATTCTTTTGTTTGACACTTGTTATGAGGGTTGGAGCGTTTCGGTGGTTTTGAATTTAGGGTTTTCATGGGATTTAGTAGGTTTGAGTTTTGCGGTTTAAGGGTGTAGGGATTTGGGGAGGGTTTTGGGGTTTTGCTGTGTTCGGGCTCAAGACTAGGTCAAGGTGTCGGGATTTCCGGATTCGATCTTGATTTCGAGTTAGATCTGCTTTGCTTGGGGCTTGGGAGTTTCGTGTTATGGTTTTGGGCTGGGGCATCAGACCCTTGCAGCACTGAACCCTAAACCGCTCCGTGCGCAACAAGTTCAGGGTTTAGGATTTAGAGCAAACTTTCGGAGCTTCGAAACCAAAAGCCTGCCACCCCTGAGTGATGCGCACAAATCCCCAATAGGCACTGAAGCCTAGACGACACGGTTTAGGGTTCAGGGACAGTTCCTAAACATTGTGTACTGCGCCCGCTCTGTAAGGATAGAAAAGATTTACAGCAGCACTGCATATAGCCCTTGTAATGACTCCCAATCTGGACTGTTACAGGGTGGGGGCAGTACCCAACCTAAACCCGTCAGGACCCCCCACTGCCCTCCGACCTCCTGCTGCTCCGCTCTAAGAAATCTGAAAGTCCTCGAGCCTCAGAGTTTCAACTCGTGGTAAGTCTGCTAGGATTCCTTACTGATATCGGGCTCCAAGCTATAGTATACTCTTGAGGGTCATTACTACCTAGTTCTATGGTTAGGAACTGTTCGTTTTAATTAAGACTACGTACCCTGAAAAAGGGGTAGAATAGGACCCTATAGCCCCAAGGGTCCCGGGTCCTTGTACCCAAATGGTAGATACTTTGGGGGGATACACTTTACACGTTTGGCGATAATATTACCCACTATAAAACTAAAAGTGTACACTTTCTGAGGCCTATGAACTCCGCAACTAAGTAACGTCTATAAATACTACCTACTTTGGTTTTTTGGAGCCGCACGGTAACAGGGAAGAAGGGTTCAGGCTCAGGGTTGAAAGCCTTGGGTTCAAAATAGTGGAGATGGCGGCCACACCGTCTCAAGCCCAGAGCACTAAACCCCTTCCAACCAACTCTACCCTAAAACCTTAACCCAGGGTTTAGGGTTTAGGCACTGTTTAGGGTCTTGGGTTCGGAGTTCGGTGCGTGTTTTTTTTTTTTGGGGGGGGGGGGCAAATTGCTCAGCTCCCAAGGCTTCTGCGTCTCGCCGACGGTTTCGGAGAAAGCTTCGGATTGCTCCATGTCCAAAGACCAGTCAGGGCTTAGGATTGACGAGTACTGTAGGACGACGCCGGCTACTACCGATACGACTTACTACTGCCAACTATTCCTACCACTAGACTGTTACTATGACTATTAGTAGTTTGTATTTTGACTTCGAATACTTATACTGCTGCTACTACCACTACTAATACCACCGCTAGCACTACGACTACTACTACGACTACCCCTGCCACTGCCACCACCACTACCACTACCACCATTTCTGTTGTTGCTACTAGAGTTCGCGGTTGCAGGCCGCAGGATTCGTGAGTAGGTTGGACTCAGGGAAGCCGTAGGTCTTTCGGGTTCAGGGTTTAGGGTTCAGGTGTGGATTCTTTACATCTCATTTTAAAGTTGATCCACACTCCAGCTCGAGAAGACTGTTGAACAGCTGTTTGGATAGTTTGGATAGTTTGCTGCGCAGTTTCCGCATTCGACCCTAGAGGGGCCTGGCAAGGTTACAGATTGGTTTGCGGTTTTTGTTTGAGCAGTGTTGATAGCAGGACTTGGAAGCCTAGTTACCTAGTTCCAGCGTTTCTCTAACCGACTCCAGCCGTATACGTCCTAGAGACTACCTCGAGGCAACTACTTCAGTAGGGCCCCAAAAAAGCACATAAGCAAAAATTAGGATAGGGATATCCCATATAAACCCCCTTATAAGGAAGCCCAATAAGGTAGGGATATCCCTATAAAATGCTTATGCTTATGTGCCTTTTCGGGTCCCTATTCAGAGTTCAGGGTGGAGAGCAGAAGCTACCGAAGCACCTGAAGCTCAAAACAGACGTTGTTAGAGATGCAGCAATGCCCGAATGCTTCGGCTCCCACTACCCACTGCATGCAACCACTCAGGCTGCAGGCAGACCTGGGGCAGAAACAGTACTTCTTGCAATCGGTTCAGGCCGGGACCGGTTTGGGAAATAGGCTTTAGGGTTTAGGGTTTAGGGTTTAGGGTTGGATGGGTGGCAGTCGGCTGCTGCAGTTGAGTCTTCTCGATTCGAGAACGAACCTTTTTCCTCGAACTGGTAACCGGGACTGGTTCAGAAGTCGCGCCAGCAACGAGAGAGCAGGTTCTTCTGACGTTTACGTTCATCTTCCTAGGCTTCATACTGCGCAGTCCTTCGGTTCTGCAGATCATCAGGCAATTCAACTTCACCTGATTCACGTGGTAAGCCCAGGATATGTCGGGGTACAAGCGAATCAATCAATATGGTCAAGGTAGGCTACTCACGGCCCTCCAAATGCAGTCGGAGACTGCGGAAAGAGCTCATTCCACCACCAGTTGCAATACTTCCGACCAAATCTAGACATGTGAATACTCGGTGACACCTTTTCATTATCGGGGTTATGGCTATACTATACGATACTGTTCTATACTTCTAGTGACTCAAGGCACCACATTACATATTCTGCGGAGAGCAAAGACCCAAAGCCGGTCGTTGAAGCCGAGCTCCACGATTCCCCACCGCACCCTGAACCCTAAACCTTGGGAGGCTGCCTTAGGCATATCATACAAAATTCTATTAAAGTAAAGCACCCCCAAAACCCTATATATTCTAATCATGGACACCCTTACATTACCCTTTAATTAACGCCCTTACATTACCCTGAAACCTAAACCCCTTAGGAGGCTGCCTTAGCATGCAACAGGTTTTCAGAGATTTTGGGTCCTCTCTGGCTGAAATCGGTCCGACGAAGTTCATAAAGTCCCCACACCATCCGGAAGCTCTCAACTTCGACCCTCGACGTAGGTCCAGGGTTTTGGGGTTTAGGGTTCAGGGTTTAAGGGTTTAGGGGTTTGGGGTTTAGGGTTTAGACTACACCCACCCCGGGCTAGAGCTGTGGCTGAAAGAGGGTCGTCAGCCGTAAATCCCCGAACCCTGAACCTGTTGAGGGGCAACCTCACTTGCAGGGGCAGGGGTCTTAGTAAGTAGGGTTATAAATAGGGTTAAGATTGGGGTCACTCCGTTTTAGGATACTTATAACTCTACTTATAACCATACTTACCAACTCCCCTGCCCCCATCCAAGTAGATCCTAAACCCTAAACCCTAAACCTCCCTTTAAGGAACCCTAGAGATCTCTTTAAGGAGCCCCGGAAGAACCCTTACTAAGTCCCCGGCCCCCTCCATGTTCCACAGAGGAGCAGATTCGGAACCCGTGGTTTCGACTCTATGAGGCCTGAGAGGGTTTAGGGTTTAAGGTTTAGGGTTTAGGGTTTAAGGTTTAGGATTTAGGGTTTAGGGTTTAGGGTTTAAGGTTTAGGGTTTAAGGTTTAGGGTTTAGGGTTTAAGGTTTAGGGTTTAAGGTTTAGGGTTTAGGGTTTAAGGTTTAGGGTTTAGGGTTTAAGGTTTAGGATTTAGGGTTTAGGATTTAGGGTTTAGGGTGTAAGGTTTAGGATTTAGGGTTTAGGATTTAGGGTTTAGGGTTTGAGGCTTGAGAGGGTTTACTTAACTTTGGTTAGTAGGGAATGGAAGAATGGTAGTAACAGTACTGGGTTGTCCTTTGGGATCTTTTTTAATTTCTACTACGTAACAGTACTGGGTTGTCCTTTGGGATCTTTTTAAAATTCTACTACTATTTGTACAGAGCCATAATTGTAAATAACTTTCAAAGGGCTTAAAGAACAACTCAGATAGTAGTTATAGTTCATAAAGAACCCCCACCGACAGCAAAGGTAAGTTTAGGGTTTAAGGCTTAGGGTTTAGGGTTTCTGCTGCAAACAGTTTAGGCTTCGGGGTTGTATTCCGAACCTAGTATATTAGACTGAAATTCCTAACCTAGTATATTCTAATGAAATTCCTAACCTAGTATATTGTAGTGAAATCCCTAGCCTAGTATATTATAGTGTAAAGGAATCGTGCTAGGGTTTCAAACACGACATGCAGTGTGGAATGTGCCTCTTTGCATCATGTGCCACGTCGCAGTTCCAGACGGTCCGGCTTGAAACCAGAAATGCTGACGGAAACGACTGCAATACTGCACATGAAACGTAGGGACCTCCGTCATGTACGAGTACGATGTGGGGTCTGTTATGCTTTACTTATAAAAGGAACCCTAAAGCCTAATGCTTATACTGGCCTTCTACTTATGATAAGAACCCTACACCCTGTACTTGCAGGACCCCTAAACCCTAAACCGGATACGTATAGGAACCCTAAGGAATAGCTCTGTCTTTTATTAATTCCGACCCCGACCCCGACATTAACGTCTCCAAGTTCGGATCTTTCCGCGCGACCCCAGAGCTGCTAGCTGGAGAGGGGACAGTTGGATGGGAATAGGGGCTTGGGGCTTAGGGTTTATTGTCGGAGTTTAGGGATTTGGCTTAGGGTTTGGGGCTTGGGGCTTACGGTCTAGGGCTTAGGGTAATATTAATATATGCATACTTTATGATATATTGCAAAGTACTGAGCAATGCATGCATTAGCATTTAGTGGAAATGTTAAAGACTCATGTTGGAGGGCCGTCCACATAGCTCAGTTTAGGTTTAATGTGATGCTCTCATCGCAGTACCAGTCTATGGCTTACGGAAGTCGTAATTGTACTGCTAAAGCAATAGCCATGTTAGTCGTGATCATCTAATGTCGCACGATCTATACTTAAGTGACCCTCTTTGATGCGTTGTTTCGGCAGCTTCTTCGTTTTTTGCCAAGGTGTGGAGCTTCGTCAATCGCCCCTTCTGCTGATGGTCATTCTTAAGTTGTTGAAAGGATCCTCCGAAATCCCAATCCCCCATGCTTGAAGCCCCAAAACCCTCCAGTATTAAACCCTAAGCCCCCAACCTTGAACCCAATAAAGTACCCCTGTAGAACCCTTCAAGCAAGCCTAAACCCGAAACCCCCAAACATAACACCCTCTAAATTTTAAAGTACTCTTCTAGAAGCCTGAAAGGAAGCCTCAACCTTAAAACCCCCAACCTTGACACCCTATCAAGGACCCTCCCAGAAACCACCCCGGCAAACCCCTAAACCCTTCTTCTTGAGCCCAGACCAATCGAACCCAACCCCCCCTCCCCCACCCACAAACCCCTGAACGCTTCTAAGCACCTAGACCCCACCACCAACCCATCCATACCCGATCAGACCCTCCAAAACGCCCACAAGACCCCCCACCCCTCCCGGCCTCGCCTCATTAGACCCCCGAAAACCCCCTTTGCCAAGCCCCCCCCCCCCACCCATGAGGTTTTCGATCCAGTACCTCCAACTTGATTTTTGTAAACCCTCATGAGATTAACCCTAAACCCTAAACCCTAAACCCTAAACCCACTGCGAGGCCATGCCCGGATGAGCGGCGGTGCATGTGTGGCGTCCGATCGCGCCCGACAGCATGTGGGGGCTCTGAAAATGAGGGGTCCCTGTCTTGGGTGTCCTTACTAAGCTTTCGTGAGCATCCAACGTAAATCTTGTTCAAGTGAACCTCGTTGGTTTCAGGCGTATATGAAAAATCAAGCAGCTTACAGAATAGGTTGAGTTTAGAGGTAAGGGTTCAGGATTCTTCCATTGGCACTACCTCGACACCCCAAACCCTCAACCCTAACACCCCAACCTTAAACCATTTACCCCGAACTCTAAACCATCCTAAACCCCAAGCCCCCTGTCCCAAAGCCTAATCCATCCCATGGCAGCGGGACATCGGTGTCTCCGAGATCTACATAGACCACTCGAAGCTTCCAGTCTAGGTTCCTATGATAAGTCTGATCAGTGTCGTATAATAATTAGTCAGATACCACAGAACCATTTTCAAAACATTAATGCCCTGTATTACATCCACCCGAACTACTCTAGACACGGTCATGCTGTCTGTTGTTTTGTTTTTCTGGCGGTTCAGAGGTTGCGGAGGGGTGGAGCTGGTTGGCAATCAACAACATAGTCAAACAGGCAGACTGTCCAAAGTGTGTCTGTGTGGATGGGTGTATGAGCATGTGCGTGCACATGTATGTGCCATGTAGACACAAAGAAAGACATTGCATGAGGGTTTTGTTGGCTGTTGAGAGATGCTGAACTGCGCGCGATGTTTTTGAGACAGTGAAGGAAGCAAACCTTCGTCTCATAATTATCTCCTCAACTTTGCCGCTGCCGGGCAGCGGCACGGTGTGTCGGCAGTGATGCGGATGAGTGAAGCTTGCATTTTAGAGTCCCCGAAGCCCAACATGTCATCATTATATTGCTGTGGCAAATTATTGTTCTCGTTTTGAGTAATTAAAACTTATTGTAGGCCTCAGGTTGGTGTAGGGCCTTGGATGAACAGTCTTTCTCCTTAGCTGCTCTTGATGATGATTTCTGTTACCTTTGGCTAGTAGGGAATGGAGGAATGGGGTACAATTATAATTGCTATTACTACCATTCTTCCATTCCCTAGTAACCAAAGGTAAGTTCTTGGACATCTGGACATCTGTCGCGAGAAGCCTGGCCTTCCGAATCGTGAGCAAAGCAAGGTAAGGCCTTTGTCCTTGAGCTCGCTACAGCCCTAATCCGGCTTCAGGGTTTAGGGTTTAGGGCCCCCGGAGTGTAAAACTTTGAGCACACTTATCCCCAAACTCAACGCCCATCAACTGCCGGCCACCTAACACAAATGCATGGCATGGCAACATGCCCTGCAGAGCTTTGTTCTCGGGTTTGCTCTGGCCGACCTGCATTTAGTGAAGCTGCTGGTCGTTGCCCTCATGCCAAGCGTGGGACATGTGGATCCTCGCCAATGCCGGTACTTTGCTTCTGCCATAGCCAGTGCTACTGCAACCGTTATGGTACTACTTTCTGCGAATACTACACCCAAAACCACTAATACTGGTACTACTACAGCTTCTACTACTACCACTACTGCTGCTGCGGGTACTGGTACATGTTCCTCCTGCTCCTCCTCCTCCTCCTCCTCATCCGCCTCATCCTCCTCCTACTGCGAGCCCTACTGCGACTACGACCACTACAACGTCGACTACTACTCCTGCTCCTGCTGCTGCTACCGTGAATACTGCTGCTATTACTGCTGCTGCTGCTGCTACTACTACTGCTACTACTACTACTACTACTACTACTGCTACGACTACTACTACTACTACTACTACTACTACTACTACTACTACTACTACTACTACTCCTACTACTACTACTACTACTACTACTACTATTACTACTACTACCACTACCACTACTACTGCTACTACTACTACTACTGCTACTACTACTACTACTACTACTACGACTACTACTCCTACTGCTACTACTACTGCTACTGCTGCTGCTACTACTACTGCTGTACCTACCACTACTACTACTGCTACTACTACGACTGCGACTACGATTACGACGAGCAGAACGACGACGACACGGAACAGGACCCCGATGTGGAGGTCGACGGACGACGACGACACAGAACAGGACCCCGATGCGGAGAACGCGGAGGACGACCACGACAACAACGACGACTGTTCTTGTTACGACTACTTCAGCAATGTCTTATGGCTGCCTTGACCGGGGCGTGATATCTGTGTGGATAGTTCACTTTTGGCTGCTGTTGGTTGCAGAGGAAACTTGAGAAGTATGATTATAAGTACCTTCATTGGGGTTATAAGCAATTATAGGTATAGTTACCCAAATAATAGCCCTGTACGATTTTCTACTGATGCAAATGGTTGGACAACTCGAAGCCAGGTCCTCGAAACAGAGTGAGAAACAGAGGGCACCACATGTGTATATATATATATGTATATATATATATATATTCTGTTGTTGTTGTTGCTGCTCACTGGCACTTTGCTATTTCACAGCTGTCCTCCATTGTGATGTAACATCGAGCCGAGTTCAATTCAGGGTGATCTGGGCAGCTTCACGAGAATACATCATTGGCATTTAACTGACGTGTACTTGGAGGACCATGGGACTTGGTAAGTGTGGTTATCAGTACCTTAATTGGGGTAATAAGCAATTATATGTATAGTTACCCAAATACCTAAACCCTAAACCCTAAACCCTAAACCCTAAACCCTAAATAGATACTAAGTCCCATGATCCAAGAAGTACGACTGATGCGTGCGCAGCGCGATTTTCAGAGGCTGGAGCAGCTTCTGCAGAGATGTGAGGTTTTGGGGTTTAGGGTTTAGGGTTTAGGGTTTAGAGTTGTTGATGTGGGCTCACTGAACCCTAGAAGACCGCTTGTAGAACCTGTGCGGAACCCAATGCCCTCAAGCTGAAGTCCGGATGAGTTGCTGCAGACTCTTGGCATGACCGGCATGAACAGGCTGCTACAGCGTCCAAAACAGCTGCGTTGCAAGTTTGTGGTCTAGCGCTCAGGGCAAGGCCCCTCTTGTTCGGAGTTCAGTGTTTTCGGCCCGGTTTAGGGTTTAAACGGGTTTAGGGTTTATGATTCGCGACACCCGCCGAACATCAGTGCAGGTATCAGAGTACTGATCACATGTTCACCTACAGGAACATGAAACTGACGACATGGATCAAAGGTGACATGCGAAGATGCTGTAGCCAGACTCGCCAACAGGGCCCTTAGCGCATACCTTCTTCGTGGGGGGGTAGGGGTGGAAGGAGGCTTGTAGGATATCCGGAGTCTTTGAGTTTCAGGGTTTGGGGCATGTGGGGGTTTAGGGTTTTGGGATTTGGGGTTTGGGTCGTGGTTTTGTTGAGTATGAATACAATCGAGAAAAGAAACACTATACGTATGTATATGTATGTGTGTATATCGACATACTCATACGCGCGCACACGTGTACATGTAAATATATATATATATATATATATGCATATACACGGCTTCTGAAAGTATTGTTGACTCGTTTTGGGGAACCTACGAATGCCAACCCTCCCTACGGATACCTTAACGCGACCTGGTTGTAGAACACAGCCCGAATTAAGCCTCGCAGGGAACTCACTTATATATCCAAAGGCTACGGGCTTGGAGTGCTGGGGATTAGGGCTTTGGACTTTGAGGTGTATACAGGGTTTACAAGTTTTAGGTTTAGATATGTTAAGGGCTTCGGTTTGCGGTTTTAGAATTTCGGTGTCCGGGGTTTGGGATTTCGTGCTTCGGGTTTAGGGTTTGTGAGGTACAGAGACTGGCAAGACGCAACAAGCCGGCCGAGACGATGGCTCTTTGACCTCATTGCCACTCGGCCCCTAAACCCGAAACCCTAAACCCTACCTCACATAGTAACATCGACTGACCGCCTCTAAATCCTAAACGCCTGGGATTTCAGCAGCACCTGCACTTGGAAAAGGGACCGTAACAAAAGCTAAAAGCAACTGCAGGATCAGGAATGACACTGCATGTAGGAAGCCGAAGGCCAGGCGAGCGGTCTCCATAGGTTGGTCAACAAGAAGGGTTTAGGGGATTCCTCACGGAGGCCCCCTCGAACCACTAGACTCACATCCGTGGCCCGGGCCTGTTGGCTGGATGTTTCGTTTGACTTCATGCTTCCAGGTATTGCGGGCTTGAGTCTGAGGACCCAAAACGGGAGCAAACATTAAAGTAGCTGGTGACAGTCGCAGGGATAGCAGCCAAGTGTCTCAAACAACCCGGCCGGTGGCACAGGATTCTGATAGGAAGATCGGGGACGTTTCGCGTTCACAATGCTGCTGACAGCAGTCAAATACTGCGACCAAAACAATCAGTGGTGTAAGAATTCCCCAAACCCTAAACCCAAAGGGCCTACATTTACATCCCAGACCCCAAACCCTAAACCCCAAACCCACACCGTCAACTGTAGGCCCCCACAGAGTCCCAAGGTATCCCTCTTCACTCACAGCAGCTTGGCACATCTGGGCAAAGGTGAAGCAAATCTCTTCTATATTCTCCACGGAAATTGTTGTTGTTCATATGGACTCCACGAGAATACTAGTAATAGTAATTGTAATACTTAGGGCCCATACGAGCAACAACAATGTCTGTGGATAAAATAGAAACCCTCAACCCCTTTGCAACATAAAACCTGCTTCCATTAAACCCCTTAGCCCTTTAACTAATACCCTGAACCCTAAAATCTAAATCTGACTAATTATGGTGGACTTTGAGAACAGCTTCGGGGCTCTGGGACGCTCAAGGTGGGATTGTCTGCGGGCTTACAGGGTGCTCATCAAGAACTTTAAGAAATTGCTTCCTGGGCGCACAGAAGTTAAATGAAGTCAAGGTTTCTTGAAACATCTGGGTTTAGGGTTTAGGGTTTAGGGGTTTAGGGTTTAGGGTTTAGGGTTTAGGGGTTTAGGGTTTAGGGTTTAGGGTTTAGGGTTTAGGGTTGCAACATTTGTCAAATCCCTTTCCATGGGAGGGAAACTACAGTCTACACC